TACATAGAAAAAAAAAACTATTGCGGCACACCAAACGAATTATTTTTCTCATTTTACGTTATTCCATCCATACATATCTACATTTGTATGCATGTGTGCTGCTGCTAGTGCGCATACATTCATGCATAGGTAGTTCTAATCGATACTGGTATACATAGATACATACATATGCACAGTAACAAAATTGCTCATCTCATAGATATGCACACATACGCACACTAGTTTTTCGTGAATGCGTAGTGTGTGTGCATGTGTGTGTGCATGTGCTCACGCGTATGTATATACATGCATGTGCCCAAGTACATGTGTGTGTATGCATTCGCATTCATTTGCGTTTATGTTTAGTTCTTTTCACTTCTGTTGTCATATTCAAATACGATTTCTGCAATAATAGTAATTCTATTTTTATTTATATAATTTACAGAGCACAAATTGAAAATGTGTGTCTCAAACCAATTGTGAATTCATTTGCAGTAGCCAATAAAAGTTTCTTTAATAGCAAGTGCCAAGAGTTTTCGTCCAGCCCTGAAAGTTTTATTTATTTTATTTTTTATTTTTGAAACTAAATACACACTCATGCCGGGACAGACACACACACACACACCGAACGAGACCGAGTGTTAGACTATTTATGAAAAAGAAAAGGACAGAGTAAGAGAAAGCGAGAGAGAGAGAGAGAGAAAGAGAGGAAACAGCTGGACTTGCTATTTTAGTTACTTTTGTTGCTGCTGAAAATCAATTCATCCAAAATTGTAACTAAAATTATTAGTTTTGCGTTAGATAGCGATGCTCATTTACTTCACTTGAGTACCCAAACGAAGCACAAGAACGCCAATTCGAGATGATCAAAGCCTGGCCTAGCCTGGCTAGCTTACCGGGCTGACGGCGTTCAGCTGGGTCAGCTGCTGCCAGGCGCCAGGGGTTTGGTTAAACGTGATTATGTGATTGACGCAAACCATCGATGGGTTGGCTCATGGTTTCGTTGGTGCAGCGCGTCTGCATGATTCGTTTGGGCACTTTGGGTCGTAGGAGTGGTCATGGCTATTCCTGAACTATGGTTTTTAGTAGAAACCGCCGGTACACCTGCTGCGATTCAAGCCAACGCCCACGCAGTTAGTAGATCCCTTGAATGGCATGTAAGACATTTCGAGACATTGGTATACATACATACATAATGGGCAAAGGGGCGACACAGTTGTCCGGCCTTTGCCTTTAAGCTTGAGCCATAGGCGTGGCACTCCATAACCGTAATCTTATTGATTCTAATTTTCATTTTCTTTTCTTTTCTTTTTTTCATTTAATAATTTTCTGCTATTCATATATTTATATATTAATACAAAAACTAAAAAAAAAGTATCTAGAGATAATAATGCTAGAGCTATTGAAAATTCGTCTAAAAATCAACAAAAATATTTTTTATTAAAATGTTTTTTTTTTTCCATTAATTAAAAAGCCTGCCGAATTAATTCAATTATCGAAGCTATATATGTATATATAAATTATATGAATTAGCGCATAAATTTATCTAACGATCGTTAGATGTAAAAAAAAAAAATTATATTAATTTTTTTTCGTAAATGTAATTAAATAAAGTATCTGCTAGTTTAGGGCAAATTGCAAATATGTTCTTTTATTAAATGAAAAAAAAAGCAAGAAACAAAAAAAAAAAACAGATATATATATATATATATATATATATATATATATATATATATATATATATATATATATATATATACTCTGCACTGCTGTTCGCTTAATAATAATCGATCTTTTCGTTTAGAATCCAAATGCTTCCGCCGCTCAACAGGCGGCCGCGATGGCTATGCCAGCCAAGCCGCAGCCGGCAGAGATTCAAGAGTCGTTGACCGTGCCAATGCCAATCAAGGAGGAGCCCATGGCTAGTGTCAGCGATAGCAGCGAGGCCATCGAGACGAGCTCCACCAACGAGAACAACGCCATGGAATCCGACAATGGCGGCAAAATACCATTTAAGAAAATATTCCAAAAGCGCAAGAAGTCATCGGGTAGGACTTGAAATCGCCCATCAAATCGACATAATTGAATTGACTTTAATTGATTTATTTTTAGAACGCACTCGCGATAAGAAATTGCGGCAAAACCGGCAGCTGCGCAAGTCCATGTTGCCCAAGAACGCGCTAATGGCCCTCAATGAGGTGAAGGGCATTAATATTAGTGACTTTACCATCAACAGCAATCCGGATGGCGGCTTCACGGCCATCGTTACCGTGAACACCAGGCAGTACGAGGGCAAAGGCCCCTCCAAGATGGCCGCCAAGAACTTAGCGTGCGAGAAGGCCTTGCGCGATTACATCATTGCCAAAATGACGCCGAAGCCGAAGAAGCCGGCGACAAAGACGTCCGCGGAGCCCGACACGAAGAACGAGGACGAAAATGAGCCCATGGACACGGAGAATAATGACAATCCGCCGGAGGATGAAGTGCCGATGCTAAACCTGGCCTCCTTTGCCATTTACAAGCTGTTCGCCGAGTGGGAGCGCGAAGGCTACATTGTGCCCGAGATGCATCCATCGTCCACAAACACATCGGCACCGCAAGCCGATGCCAGCTCGCCGAATGCCGCGGCAGCTGTCGTCACCCCAAAGGAGCCGAAGAAGCCGCCCGTGCGCACCGAATTGCCCCTCAACTGGGAGAGTATGCATCCAGCCACATTGTTATGCGTGGTAAGTGGTAATCCGGATACAATTTCAATAGCCGATTTTTCATATACCATGTAATTATCATCCACAGATGCGCCCGGGGCTGTCGTATGTGGACTACGGCTCTATCGGCGAGAAGCCAACTGTGCTGCAGCGATTGGGAGTCATCGTGGACAATCAGGAGTTCACCGCCAACGGCCGATCCAAAAAGATTGCACGGCGGAATGTGGCTGTCAATGTATGCAACACATTGTTCAACACAAATTTCATATATGAGGAGTATTAGACAGTATATGCATATGTATTTATGTATATGCATATGTATGTTAGCAGAATCTTAGAAGTGTAATTATGTAATATGTCGCTACTATTTATACCCGCTCGCAATGGGATTAGAAATTTGTATATCTTGCTGTCTGTCCATCCGGTATAATCGTAATACGATGAGTGTTGACGACTGCAGACTCGGCAAAATACAGCAGTTTAGGAGTAGAACCAACCAAATTTGTGAGATTTCTAGTTACGCCAATTATAAACCCAGAGCCAGAGTATATGTTTGGGGAGTTTTAGAATACAAAGAGAAACAAAATCAGTATGTCTATCAGTATGTTTTTGAGCTCGGTTGGATCCGATCGTAACGTTCTTGCTTGTTAATTGCTTAAATTATATTTCAACACTTCGACATTATCGTAAAATATATGCTCACATCGGACGTACTACGTGGGGTGTTTATAAATATAGCATAAATACATATGTATGTAGTTTTATCACTATTTTTTTCTTAATCAATAAATAAATAAAAAAAAAATAAAAAGAGAAAACTTCCAATTTGTCTGCGTTATTTGAATTATTATTACTAGTCGAATTGAATACATTAGTCCAAGAGTTTATGTAATCGATAGTAGTCAACAATGGTTTGACTATCGAGTCACATTTTCAGCTGTCTGGCAACATTGAGCTCAACAGCTGATCATTGTTAGTACATAAGAGAGCAGACACATCTATAGAAATTATAACAAATAAATTAGTGCGCAATGTCGAAATTAATTTCATATGCTACCAAGCACACTTTGCGTAATACACGCCTTGTTGCTAACCCAATGTACGTACAAATATTGTTTTATCGAATTCACAAAAGGAGCTCACAATATCGCATTTAGTTGTCAGCATGTAACCCGGGACTTCGTTCAGATGGGCACATCGGCAGCCGCACGTAACACATATTCGACTCTGGCCGTGGGGCCGACTAATCAGGCGGTGCTCCGGCCAGCTGGAGTTCCGGCGCTGGGCCACATGGCTAAGCGCAGCATGTTCATTCAGACCCAGGATACACCAAATCCGGACAGCTTGAAGTTCTTGCCCGGCGTGGAAGTACTGGGAAAAGGAAATACATACGATTTCCCCAGTGGCGCGGCAGCTCATTGTAGTCCGTTGGGTGAGCCTTGCCTTATATATCTGTATATATATATCGTTCATCATTAAAACTCGTTTGCTTTTAGCTAAGCTACTGTTCCGTGTGGAAGGTGTTCGTGCTGTATTCTTTGGCGGCGACTTTATTACTATATCGAAGGAAGAATCTGGAGAATGGGGCCTTATAAAGCCTGAAGTTTTTGCAATCATCATGGATTTCTTTGCCAGCGGCTTGCCCATACTGCACGAGGCGCGGGCCAATGCAGATACCGAGATTCTGGAGGACGACGATGAGACGGTTATGATGATTAAAGAGCTGCTCGACACGCGCATCCGACCAACAGTGCAGGAGGATGGCGGCGATATTGTCTTCATGGGTTACGAGAACGGCGTTGTCAAGTTGAAAATGCAGGGATCGTGCTCCTCCTGCCCCAGCTCGATCGTAACACTCAAGAACGGCGTTCAAAACATGCTTCAATTCTATATACCCGAGGTCGAGTCCGTAGAGCAGGTGTTTGACGAAGCTGACAAAGTGGCAAACAAGGAATTCGAGCGCTTTGAAAAGAGTTTAAAGCAAAAGGAGTCAACTAACGCACCCGTCAGCATTGGGGGCACACCAAATTAATAGTGTTTTGATTGTTACTATCTTTAGTAGGCTTAGAAACCAAATATGTTTACATAAATATTCGCTTATAAAGTTTAAATAATGTACAGTTTCCTGTATACATTGATTGTTTTGTTGTGATTGGGTATTGTAAAAGGAAAGCCATCGTATTTTTCGCTTTAAAAATATACGCGGATTTAAACGCAGTTAAACCACTAATCATAGTGATTCAACGAGCGCAACAGTGCCAGCTTATATCGATATCAAAGTATCGCTTTGATTACACGTCGTCGTTTACTTTTTTAATGAGCATTGTTATCGATATATGTATATGTGAAACTAGCTGTGTCGTACTCGTAAACTAAACGAAGACGCGCATTAAACAAATTAATAGGATTCGAAAAATTTATCAGTATCAAAACATATAGAACGGAACTGAAGCCCACCTTTCCACACAAATTGAAATCAACAAAGCACTTGCAGACATTAGCAGGCCTGTACTTTGAGTCAAGTGTAACCAATTGGACGTGAAGTTTTGCAGCTCGCATATAAATCGTAAAATATGGTCAGGCTTTTCACACTGAGTGTTTTCTACAAGGGTGCCAGCGAAGCGCGCCTATTGAAGACAACCTCGGACTTGCAGTCCTTCTCGTTTTTTCAACGTGGCACAGTCAATGAGTTCATGACGTGAGTATTCAAGTATTCGAGTTTCGGCTCGGTTTTCTACGGCGACGGCGCAATTAGCCCCATCGCTGACCTATAATTCGGTCCATTTATCACATATGTTTGTGCGTCTCGCAGCTTCGCGTCGAAGACTATTGTGGAACGCACCCAGCCGGCTCTGCGACAGTCCGTCAAACAGGACGCCTACATGTGCCATGTCTATGTGCGGGCGGACAACTTGGCTGGCGTTCTTATCGCCGATCACGAGTATCCGCACCGTGTAGCCCACACGTTAATCACAAAGATATTGGATGATTTCTCGGCTAAGGTGTCGGCCGACCAATGGCAGACCGGGACCGAATCGAGCATTGCTTTCGATTCGCTGCCTGCGTTTCTGGTCAAATACCAGGATCCCAAGGAAGCTGATCCGCTGACGAAAATGCAAACCGACCTGGACGAAACGAAAATCATTTTGAAGAACACAATTGAATCGGTGCTGGAGCGCGGCGAGAAACTGGAGGACATGGTCACCAAATCCGAGCAACTATCCATGCAGAGCAAGGCATTCTACAAAACAGCGAAAAAGACCAATTCCTGCTGCAGCTTCACCTAAGCCCACAGCCGGCTCAGAGAACGAATCAGAAGCAGAAGCAGAAGCAGAAACTGAAACCGAAACACCAGAAACAAACACCAACCAGAGGAGGATGGGCATATTACAAACTGGCTTAGACTTTGTATGCTTTTTATATAAAATAATTAGTTAATTTTATTATACTATACTATATGTACTATACACACATTAAGTATTTATACGTATGTTAAATGTGCGAATGTGCAAACACACACTCATGTGTGTGAGAGTGTGTGTGTCTGTACGCCCGCAGTGTGTGTGCTTAACGTTCAACTTGGCCTCTTGTTGTGTCTGCATGTCTAGGTATAATGGTACAGATAATGTTATATATATATATATACATATGCAATTATACCAATACAATTATTACATACATACATATACGCATGCCTCTGTGCACATATACACCCGTATATATATGCACACATGCATAAATTATGTATATATATGTGTGTATATGAGTATTTTGTATGCAATATAGGATTATGTGTCTATCTCCTTCGATTATGTGCTCTTGTCACTTTTTATTTTAGAACAGCTTTTGTCCTGTCTGCCGCCCCAATCAGTCCCCGTTGCCGACTTAGTTATGCTCGCTGGGCCTGTATATATTTAAGGTTGCACTAAGTTTTAGACGGCCTCAGCGACCTCTAACTGCCGAATACTCAACAGATATCCAAACAAGACAAACAAAGAATAAACAAATTAAGCCAAATCTGAAGTGTTTTAGATTCCCTCCTGCTCTCGTCCTTGTCGTGCCTCTTTGACGCCAACGCCAGCTGCTTCTTATCAGCTTTGTGGCCTTATCGCATAGTAAACATTGGCCAACAATATTGCAGCTGATAAATGTCATACAAATACTTAATTACAATTTTGTTTTAACTTAAGGCAATTAAAACATTTTTAGTTTGTGTTCAAATACAAAATTATTTACATTTATTATTTTTCTTTTATATTAACACTTACATTCTTTTTATTTACATTTTTTTTATGTTTACTATTATGAAATACATGAGTATTTTCTATTTTTTATTTATTATTACATTTTATTTTCATTACATTTTCGTTTTTTTATTAATTATTATTTGACCGCATTTATTTATTGTTATCATTATTGGTTAATATTTAATATTTGTATTTTTTTATGTTATTATTTGTTTTAATTTATTTGTAGTATTTATTATTTTATTTTCATTTATATATTTATATATATATCTATTTACTTTCTAGCACCAATCTCGTTGCTGTCCAAAGAATCTTAAAGCAAAAAAAGTTTAACTTAGAGCAGTTCATCTGCAAGTGCATTCATTATAAATAAAATCCTAATTTCGTGCTACATTGGTCAATGCAGATTTCGAATCTGCAGTTCTATGTGGCAAAGAATTACAAAAATTAGTCTTAAAGGCAACGTTAGGCAAATAGTGGAAAAGAGTTGTGTATGTGTGTGAGAGTGATTGAAGGAGCTGGCGACACCCAAAAGTGGATGCGGTCATTAGGAGTGAGAAGCGCTCCCTCCTTCCCTGAGTATTGTTGTTTAGTTTCGATGCTTGGCTTGCGAGGTCGAAAGCTTTGTCTTAATGCGCTTTCGATCCCGAGCGATAATCTCCATGCGCTCCTTGATGCTCGTCTGGAAGAAGATCAGGTGCAGGGTGCGGCTGGCCGAGCAGAGCTGTCGAGACATGAATAAATATGATGATATATAGGAATGTGAATCTCAGGGCAGCTCACCTGCTGGAGGAGGCGCGCCTTTAGACGTATGTTGGCCGGCTCCTCCTGGTCCAGACTCTTGCCGCACGTCTCCATATGCAGATTCAGCACAAAGATGAGCGTGTCCCGTATGGTCTGCACGATGCGTTGCACCTGCTCCGTGCGGAAGAGGCGTCGCACCAGGAAGCCGCGCGTCGCCGCATTCAGAATTGTGGCAGCCAGGTGTCGTCGGTCCACCTCCAGGTGGCACGCTGCCAGTCGCTGGTGGGGATCAGAGGGCGTGTTAATAACAATATCGTGTGGATCGTATTGAGAAAGGCATTGATTAGTTAGTTAGTTGATCTTGCTGCGTTTCGGAAATTGTGTGGATCGTATTGAGAAAGGTTTAGGCTTATTGGTTAGTTAGCTCTCGTTGCTTTTTTTATTGAACAATCGATATGGAAACGTGTCAAAGGCTTAGCTAATATAGATATATATAAATATTATATATATATTTGTGTATATTGTTTCCAAAAGATTGCCCAACCTTTGGGCTAAGGCACTTGCTTGGCTTCGATATGTTCAATCACTCATATTACTTCTTGGCCACAAAACGCTGCTGGCATGGCCACAGTGCAACATGGTAAGCAAAAACAGGATTAGGACAGAAGAGAGGAAGAAATATTGTTAGCGTTATTGCCCAACTCTGGGCGCACTGCCAAGCTACTACTTACAGTCGAACGGCTCGGCGAGCCGCTGCGTCGGCTCTTGGTTACTGTTAGCTGCTGCTGAGGCTGTGGCTGCTGCTGTTGGTTCCGTGGATTGTCTTTGGCTGCCAGAGATGCTGGCGTCGACGTCTTGTTGGCCACTTTGCGTGCCGGCGGCGACCTAACCAACAGCACTGGACTGACACCGCTCTTCGAGGCTGGCGGCTTGGAATGGCTGCGCTGCACGGTCTTCTTATTGACGTTGGCTTTGGGGTTCGTATTGGCATTCCGGCTGCGCAATGGCAGGGCTTTGGGTGAGCTGACGGCGCTCTGCAGCAGCTCCATGGGCCCCTCCGACTCGCTGCCCACGTCAAAGAGCCGCTTGCGTGCCGTAGTCGATGCCGAATCCTTGGCCTTGTCGTCGCTCAACAGCGTGTCCAGCTCTGACATGTCCATGGTGAGATTCATGGGCGTGATCGTGTCGCTCGGCGAGACTTGGGACGGCGTCGGCAGGTCATCGGTGCTAGTGTACTCGGAGACGCCGCTCGGACTGCGCCCGCCCGACAGCGACTCGTGGGCGTAGGCGGAGACGTTGATCTCCGTGCAGATCTGTTCGATGAGGAACTTTTGCTGGCGATCGAACTCCTCCTGCATGCGGCGCTGCTCCTCGTGCTGGTACTGCACCAGCTGCTGGAAGCGATCGCGATGCGCACTCTTGATGTCCTTGAACATTTGCTTCTTGGCCAGCGCCAGGTGCTGCTTCTCCGCCGCAGCGGCGTGGGTCTCGTGCAGTGCCCGCTGCAACAGCTCCTCGAGCTGCGCCTGCTGCTGCTGCTGGCGCACGGAGACCCCGCCACGGCGCCTGCCTGCAGCAGCCGGAGCCGATTGGGACTTCAGCGTATCGACGAGGCTGCTGCTCACGCTGCGCTGCACCTGCTTGGCCTTCGACTCGATGGTGTCGCGTCGCAAGTGCGCCAAGCTGTGCGCCGACGAGCAGCACGAGACGTTGCCCGCTAAGCGGCAGCGCGGAGTCGTGGACGGGGCGAATGTGGGAGCACTGGCAGTCGTGGCTGGTGCCGCTGGTGTCCTTGGCAGCGGTGGTGGTGGTGGTGGCGGAATCAGCGGCTCCTTACCCTCGCGTTTCATGTGCTCCACGAGCGCCTGCGACGGCTCGTCGAGCGTAAAGGAGCGAGAGCGATGCAGCTGCCCATCGTTCCCTTGAGCAGCGCTGAGCGAAGGACTGGTGCTGGAGCGCAGCATGCGCTTGTCCAATATCACGATCGTCTCGTTCTGCCAGAGCAGCTGGGCTGGCTGCGGCTTCAGAGGCGTCATCTTGCCCAATCCCGTGCGCTCGAACTGCAATATGCGCGTGGTTATGTTGTTCAGCTTGCGATGGTGGGTGCTGAGCGAGCGAAGGCTGCCCTTGGACTCGGGAGCTGCCGCAGCTGTGCGCTTCGGCTGTGGTTGAGGCTTTGGCTTCGGCTGTGGCTGCGGTTGTGGCTGCTCGCAGAGCGGCGTCGGTGGATTCACGCAGATGGTTGGAATTACATTCACTGCCGATGCTCTCTTTGGCTCAATGTCCAGCGTCTGGGGACGATCCATCATGGGCTGCGATTGCGGTTGGAAACGTCGTGTGCTGTCATAGATAAAAGTTTCCGTTTGTTGCAGCTGCGGCATTCTATGTGGGTTCTCCATGGTGCTGTTGCTCAAGTTGCTGCTGCTTGTGCTGCTGCTGCTGCTGCTGCTGCTGCTGCTACTGCTTTTATTGTTGCTTTTGCTGTTGTCGTTGCTGTTGCTGTTGCAGTTGCCGTTGCCGTTGCTGGCGCCTTTGGTGTTGTTAGCAACGTCTGGAGTCGATCTGACGGCCTGCGCCTGCTTGTACTTGGCCTCCAGTTGCATAGCGCGTTCGCGCAGCTGTCGCATCAGTTGTCGCTTTTCTGCTGTCATCTAGGTTGGATATGCTTGAGTGATGGCACGCCCGCTATAGCTATAGCTCTAACTACTCACCAATGGCGGCAAGATGGGCTGCCCATCGATGCGGAACCTGGACACGTATTCTGGCAATTTGTTGGAGATGTTGGCATCCGAATGGGTATTCAAATTGTTGTTGGAATTGGGTTCGGCACTGGGTGTGGTGGCCTCATTTTGTTCCGTGGCGGCTCGCAGCAATTCCATTGCCAAGCTAAGCCATTTACACAAACAAACAATTTAATAGAGAGCGAACAAGAAATTCACCCAATTTCAATTTGACCTACCTTGCATTATCCATAGCCATAGTTGGTGTATTGTTATGTCTGTGTGTACTTTGAATTTGGAATGTTCTGTTGAAGAATGCCAAGCGCTCGGCTAGCGTGCCGTCTGCTGTTGCGCGAGAAACGCAAGCCAAAAGCAAAATAGCCAAAAGCTAACAATTCATTTGTTGTGCGTCCGTTGCTATGACGATTTCAAGGGCAACTGCACACGTTGTCGCTGTCACATCTAGGCTAACATCAAAACAAAATATAATAAAAAATACAAACAAAAAATATGAAGTGAGCACTACAAAATTAACAAATTGCTTTTGAGTCGTTCGACTTTTCCTTGCGAGCCTACCAGATTGCTTTCGTTTTCAAATTCAATTTTCATTGCAACAAGTTGACAGTACTAGTAGGCTGCGCGCTCGATTGCCGCATGTTAACAGTAGCATACGGTGTTCAACCATCGTCAATGCTATCGATATTCATGTTGAATTAAGAGTGACTATCGATAGTTCGGTGCATCATCAAGGGACCATGATATTAACATTAGCGCAAACATAGCATTTGATATCGTGCAGCGCGTTTCGTCGCTGATTCGTTGTTATTATCACTTTTTGTTTTTGTTTATTGTGCCGTTAAAAAACGAAGCAAACAGGCAGCCATCAGTGACGACTCATAAGCCGCAATAATAAATCTAAAAGTATACAAGTTTGTCTCGTGATTGCCAAAAATTAACCGTCTAACAGAAGGACGTACGTCGTACGTGCCTCCCCTTTAAGAATCAACCTCAACCGCCCTAACATTATTTGCTGTTTTTGTTTGTGCTGTTGCGCGCTGCCTGATCCAGGAAATTCGTTGCGTTGTATGTGTGCGAGTTACAAAATTAATTAATTTAAGAACTACAGCCAAATAAATATATAAACATAAAAGCGTATTTCTACGTTTTGAAATCATATATGTTTATTGAAACACAAAAATTACATGTGCGCGTAAATTATGTAGCCTTGTGCTGCATGCATGTATGTGTGTGTGTGGGTGTTTGTTATCCAGCGCTGCTGCCCTTTGTGTGTGGGCTTGGGAGTCTTGGGTTGTTACTGCAAATAACTGCGTTTTAGTTTAGTGCAGCTGTAACAAAGAAGGCGCGTTTCAACCTGTGTCATATTCTTTCTCTTTCTTTTTATTTTTGTTTTGCTTTCTTTTCGTTCTTGCAATCTTGGCCTTTTGTTTAAGGGCTCTTGCGAAAAGAGGGGCGAACACTAGTGTCTTGCCACTTGACCGACCGTTTGCGTTATTTTTGCATTGCTTACTCATATATATATATATACATATATGTATATAAATGTGTAATTTGTATTTAATTACTTTGTAAGAAGTAGAACAATTTAGAGTACAAGAATGACAACACCACTCAATTACACATACAGAGGCACACAAAGAGACGGTGTACGCATAAAAATACACATATAATATATGTACATACATACATGGATATGTATGTATGTATGTATATTCTGCGACGCAATTGAAAAGACATCGAAGGCCAAACAACTTTGCCGTTTTTGTTTTCGTCTTCTTCGTTTTTCGCTTTTCTGTGAGTTGTTTATTTTTTTGTTATTATCGCAACTTCAGTCACACTTCTCATAGTTCCCACACTATTTGTAGACTGCCTACGCTAGCGCGCGCTCGCTCGCTCGCTCTTTCGCTCAAACGCTGCCGGCGACAAGGCGAATGCCAAAACGCCAGCGCAGCTACACTCAGAGCTGCTGTCAAAGCTGAGCTCAAAGCGAGCTTAACATAAAGGATTTTAAGAAAGTCGCAATAGCTGATGCACGCACACACACACACATGAACACCATTGCATATGCATAGGCTGTGAGCAACAACGCAATTTTACTTTCTTTGTTCTCTTTCGCTGTACTGCTTGCTAAAAAGAAAAAGTGTGCATTGGTTTTGTGTGATAATGAAACTAGAGTTAAAAATAGATTAAATGTAAAATGATCTTAAATTGACAATTATAAATAACATTTTTTTCTTCTAAAGTTCAAATGGGAAAGCGAAACTAAAATACAGGGTATTGTGTAGTCGATAAGCAATAATCATTGCGATTATTTCCATGGTTGCGACTTTAGCGAACGCAAATACCATCTGCCAATGCCCTATATTATAAACACTGTTGTTTTTGTCTGAATGTACAACGATAATAACAATAATATTAATAACAAAAACAAAAATGTTTTCGCTGCGCCAAAGTACTGTAAATTCTCTTGACAAATGCTCTAAATTCCGTGACAGATTTATAATACGCTCTGAAAGGGTATAGTACAAATAATAATAATAATAATAATAATATGAACAGCAAGATTGTTTTTTCGTTTTTGGACTTTTCGTTTGCATTTATTTTTGGTAAAATGCCATATTTTTGTTTTCATGCAGCAATATTTCATTTCTACGCAGCAGCAACGGCGGCAGAAGCAGCAGCAGCAGCAGCACCAGCACCAGCAGCAGCAGCAGGAAAAGCAAGTTGGCTCAGTGCCCCGTTGCGAATTGACATATTGTGTGGTTGCGCATTCAGTGGTAAAGTGCAGATGCGCAGTTTGTAACGGCGCCCATGCGCGCACAGCTGATCGATTAAGAATCGATTGTAACTAACCTAACCTAACGACAATACAGCTTCAAAACAAAAGCACTATCCTCTGCATAGATAAAAAACTATAAAATAAAAATAAAACGTATAACGATAAAAAAAAAAAACCAAAACGCAACAAAAAATATGTTTCAAATTCCACGACCAACGCGGGCAACACTGCTCGGCGCAGTCATTGCGCTTGGCATGGTGATGTTAATGTCCTGGTAAGTACAGCGAATACACGCTCTATACATATACATACATATATATGCAGTATATACATACATATATATGTGACCAATTCGAATGGTATATTTATAGACAGCAGTTAAGATGGGGTAGAAAATCAAGTTTCCTTCATTCATGCATTTAAAATATCTATCTATAATGAAACTTAATATAAACAGAAATGAACTAAAACATACTATATTGCATTTTCGTTGCAATATAGAACTAATAAAGTTATTGCAATCAAAATGTATTATTATATCGGTATTTTAGCTGAGAGGTTTTTGATTAATATGCATATGTACATTCTTATGTACATACATATAAGCAAATTGAATGAGTCCGGGTAATGGCTATGAACACCTGCTAGTATGCTCGTAAATAAAACAAGCTATCGCACGCATTCCGTTAATTATTTAAACTTTTAAGTGTAGTCACGCCTCTCGATTTGGGTCACAAACCAAATGCATTTCAATTTGCATTTGCATTTGCATTCCCATTCCCATTCGCATTCGCATGTCTCGCGCATTCCGATTCCAATTCTCATTCCCTATTCCCCATTCCCGTTCCCATGCCCGGTCCCATTTCAAACCCCAATCCAAAGTAAGCAAAACAAAAATAAATGACGACGACGCTGCATTTTCAAACGAAAGCTTGACAGGAAGAGCGACATGAAGAAAGAGCGAAATGAACCAAAATTGATTGAAAAAGAGCGCACGAGCACAAGGAAAGCGAGAGCGGTATAACGGCTGATTAAGCGTCGCGTGGCCACTGGCCAGCGCCTATACCCTTACCGAAGATATTAGAACTAGAGATGAACAAACGAACTATTGACAATTGACACGATAAGCTGTATTTGTATATTTAAATACATGCATCCATATACATATATACATATGTATATACATTTTGTATATTTCTTTTTCCTTCCTTATATATATACATAAGTGAACTGCTACCCAAAAAAGTATACAACACTTGAGGAAAACAAGTTTTTTGCTGAAATTTATTAAATTGCAATATGTATGTACATACAAACATATTTATGCATATACTATATGACCTAGAATTTATTCATATTTATTATTCTATTTTATTAAATGCCTGTAAGAGTATTTTATTGTCGACTTCTCGTAAAGAACTTCCTTATAGTTAAAAGTTGCAATATTTTATTTTGGGCATAGTGTATACATGCGCATGTATGTATGTGCGCACCTGCATATGTATTAATATATATATATATATATATATATATGTATATATGTATGTATGTACGTGCTTACACCTTCATTTTGGCTATCTGCTGGCCCGACAGGCCCCCACTCCCTACAGTTTGCCGTGCCTTTCTGTGTTGTGGCGCGTGCATGCGGGGACATATGTACGTACATACATACATATAGACATATGCATACGTATATGTGTGTATGTGAGAGTGTGGGCATATACATACATATGTATAAGAATTCGGCTAGCGGTCAAATGCGTTGTTTTTATACCCTGAACCCATTTTCAATGGGAAATCAGGGTATAATGGTTTTGTTGAAATGTATGTAACAGGCAGAAGGAGGCGTGGCAGACCCCACAAAGTATATATATTCTTGATCAGGGCGACGAGCTGAGTTGATTTGGCCCTGTCCGTCTGTCTGTCCGTCTGTCCGTCTGTCCGTCCGTCCGTCCGTCTGTCCGTCTGTCCGTCTGTCCGTATGTATGAACGCGTCGATTTCAGAAGATATAAGAGCTAGAGACTTCAAAATTTTTTTAAAATGTTCGTAATTACAGCGCGCATATCAAGTTTATCATTAAAAATCGATAACTCATCCCGATCTTTTTTATCGATAAAAAACCTTATCGAAAACCAGTTATAAAATTATATCTTCTACACCTTTATTGCTAGAGTCTCCAAATTTTTAATGTATGCCTATATGCAATTTATACAATTTCGGTTTTTGTTAAAATTTACCCCCCACCCCTAAATTCACCCCCTCACCCTCACTTTTGTAAAAAGCGTATTTCAAATACTAGAGACTTGTGCTTTAGAATGTGCACACATTTTTACCATATGATTAGGCTCTGAAAGTTTTATTAAGATTGTACGTCTAGAAATTAAATTATTCAACAAATAAATTCTTATAATATTGCCCACACTGCAACGCAGCCCAAGCGCAGTCGCTGCTTACTGCGCAGTTAGCAGGCGCGTTCTAATACGTGCGTGTGTATGTTTCGAAAAGAAGTGCAGACTGATTAGAATATCAGCTTAGAGGGTTCAGGGTATCTCCTAGTCGAGCAGTCTCGACTAGAGCTTTCTTACTTGTTCTTGCTGGCCTTTTTTATGTACTCACCTACCTGCATATATATAGACTTTTACATGCATGAGTGTGTGTATATACACTGGCCTGTGCATGTGTATGTGTGCGCAATTAACCAAAGCGAAATGCAGCACAAATGATTCACACGCAGCCTCAGGCACAGTTTGCCAGATAATACAATACATACATACATATGGAAACATGTATGTATGTCAATACACAGATAGACATGTTTATGTATGTGTGTGACAAGCATGTGTGTGTGATTCTGCCCAAAGAGTAGAGCGAATGCACTTGTCATTTGTGTGTTGTATTACTTTGTTTATCGTTCGACTATCAGTGCAAAAAAAGAAAAAAAAAAAGTAAATAAATAGACTCGCTAAATAACAACAATTGCAATTGTTATGTACCTAGCGGTTGTTTGTCAGCCAACGGACGCCAGCAAATGCAAATAACAACAAAGTTGAAAACAACTATTACTTGGTATCTGACGAAGCCATCATAGCAATCTCGATAGGTTTTTGCGTCCAATAAATAATCGCCAGACAGCCGTGTTTTTAATGAAAGCCTACTACGTTTTTCTTTGTTTTTGCTTTGTTTACTCATTCACTAAACAAAGAGCAGTACATATAAACAGTTAATAGTTTATTCCAGCCTGCACCTGAAAGTTTGGTCATCCATAAAGTCTAAATTAAAGCAGATCATGTTTTAATTTGCAACAAAAATGATCTCATTTATTTTTGAAATACTTTTAAAACATTTCATGATCACTAAAAACTGAAATCAGCTGGTTGAAATAAGCTGTGAAGCACTGCACACACAGACATACATATAAATATACATACGTACATATACGACTAGACTAATCAAGTTGTGAATGAAAAAATAAATAAAGCGAATTACAAAAGTAAGCATGTATATGTTCTATGTATGTACATATATATTAAAATATATAAAATAATATAGCACATAGATATATGTAAATGCGTACATATGTATGTATGTATGTATGTATATTTATTCTGTAGATAATGTTCCAAGTTTATAAACTAAATGCATATGCATATCCAATATATACATTATCTATGGTACATATATACATAAATAAACATATATTTATATTCATTATATATCCCATATTAATTTCCATTCGATTCGGAACTTGTTCAGAGCGACTTACGCCATTTATTTATTTGTTTTTGTTTTGATGTATACCCTGGACGCATTGAAAACGGGTATATAGTGTCACTCTTTCTGCATGACTTGATATGCATAAATACAACTGTACGCATAAAATTATTGCGAGCAGTAAAAAAAAAAAAGTATTTTATTTATTTTGTTATTATAGATTTTGCTACATATTTGTTTCTTACAAGAAACATTTTGTCATTCATGTAAATAGAAATGTGAATATATACAATGATATTTGAATTGTATAAAATATGTTGTATAAAACTAAAATAAACCTTAAAATTGGCTGCCGGGATAAGAATATTCAAATGCTTTACCTTATATAACGGTATCAATACTTTAGTCAACTGTGAATTGCAAGTTTTCTTGTCTGTTCTGGAATTGTGAACAGACTTAGAGAATAGTGTTGCAATAGGTCCACTTAGAGTGTTCATAAACCGATTCGAATTGTTTCATTCGACTGATCGCTCTCTGGCAACAATATTTGGTATTTGCTTATTTGCTGTAACAATTTGTAAGCAACAGCAATCCGAAAGGTAAATAAAAAGTAAGCGCTATGGGAGGTAAACAATGCGATAATACGATAATGATAGATAGTTCTGAATGCGAATATATATATATATATATATATATATATATATATATATAAATACACCTGCAACCTTACGGCTAAAAACTGTTTATTATATACAGTGAGTAACATTAATATTCGGGCTTTAAGTTTCAAACTTCAAACGCCCATAAAACATATAATATTAATTGAACAATATAATAAGCAATTAAACAAGTAAGAACGTTGCACTCGGGCGTTACCGACTGCGGAATACTCATTTACATCTCATCAGCAATTTAGTAGCTAAGCTTAGCTCTAATACTGTAGAAAATTCATTTTTTTCCGATTTGCCACGCCCCTACTCGGCGTAGACACCTTATTTTTGGTCAGTTTTTAGAACGAGCTAACGGCACCCTAACTGGAAAATTTAAATGCTTACGCTCAAAAAATGTGAAAATTACAAGATATTTTCCGATAAGCCACGCCCCTAAAGAGGCGTAAAAATGATTTTTGGGGACTCGATAGAGGAGGTTACTAGTAACTTAACTATCCAAATTTGAAGCTTCTAGTTATTATACATTAGGAGATGCAAACTTTTGCGGTTTGTCACGCCCCCTGTGGGCGAAGATATATCCGTCGAAGCCTTTTTGGTATCGGGTGGTCAGCCCGAGTATATATACCAAATTTTGTCCAAAATATAGCAGCATTTGACAAGTCACTATATATTCAGGTCCGATTTGCCACGCCCCTAATGGGCGCAGTCATATAACTTTGTCATTACAATTTATAGAATCATAACATTAGCTTACATGCAAAACTCAACGTTCTAGCTGAAAAAAAAGTTGCGTTCATACGGTCAGACGGACATTGCACAAAACCAATATACTAATTCACTTTCGTGAATGAGTATAATTAGTAATACGATATTAATAGATATTTAGTTAGGTTAAGATTATTGTAAACAAACAAAGAGTTCATGAACGCATACATTAATGTCTATTATCCTGTGAAATATAAAAAGAATACCCTGTGATAAATATAGGAAATTTGTTGTTTCATGAAGATTTCGTTTAATGATTTCCCCCAGATAGAAACGACAATATAGGCAAATGATAACGTACGCAATTTGCCCTACATAAAGCTATCTAATCTTGCCTAATCTATATATGATGTCAGCACAATCATATCAATATTAATATGAGGATAAGCTGTCCATATAAGTGAATGGCTCATTTATTAGATTCTTTACTCACTGTGCAATAAACTATAGCTGATTCGATAAGAATTTATCAAAATGTTCTGCTCATTGAGTATGTGGAATCTTCGTTTATGGAAATCACAATAAGTGCAAATGAAGTGTATGACAATGAGATACCCTTGAGAAATTGAAAAAAATGAAAAAATCATTCACAATTAGCTATAGTGGCATCTGACTTGAACTTGAATGTTTTTATTCGATAAAAACATAAGGGATGATTTATCGAATTTTAAAAGCAAACTCGACATCCGCGCTGTATATACGGTCATTTAAAAAAAATTCAAGTCTCTAGCTCTTATATCTTCGGAAATAGACGCGTTCAAACATACGGACGGACGGACAGGGCCAAATCAACTCAGCTCGTCGCCTTGATCAAAAATACATACATATACTTTGTGGGGTCTGCCACGCCTCCTTCTGCCTGTTACATACATTTCAACAAAACCTTTATACCGATTTCCCATTGAAAATGGGGTCAGGGTATAAAAAAAAAAAAAAAAAAAAAAAATAAATAAATAAAAAATAGTATTAGTAAATAAATAAATTTATAAAATAAATATATAAATAAAAATATTCGTTTAAAATTGTTTTACATATTATGCCTATCACTCAATTTAGTTGGGCAACATTTTGTGCACTATTATTTTCATGAACACAATATGTAAATAAAATGTTTTTTTTTTTTTAATTTGTATATAAAATTTGAAGGGATGTACAAATCAGTTTACATTAATTAGTATTAGTATTAAGCCCTAAAGTCGCTTGATTTGATTTGATTTTGTAATATGCCATTAAGGCATTCGGATATCAGAAAATAAACTTAACGTATTCTATATTCAAATATTTGTAAAATCCTCATGTCAATAAGAATCACCCCCCATTGCCGACGGTCTCGCTACGCCTCTGTTATATTAGTTATGGATAGTTCAAAATACATGGATGATCATTTTTTCTATAGCTGCTTGACAGCTGTGGATTTCGCCTTAACACTAAGACTACATAGAGAATTGTCAGCAGTTTAAGTTCTAACTGCGCAACTTTGTAATACTCTAAGACAGCTTCGGAAAATGAAAGCCAAAGCATAATAATTACTACACGTTTCGGATCTAAACATCAGTTAATATTGATTATGTTGAATAAAAGATTTAAGTATATATATGTATATACAGAGGTGGTCAAAAGTAATTACACACCGAGCTTTTTTCTGCATGCTCAGCTTTAAAAGCTTGTTGTTGTTGTTGTTGTTCGCTGTTTTTGAAAAAAAGCTTTTGTGTCATAAAGCTTATTCTGTGTAGAAGCGATCGGCAAAAAGAAATTGCTAAAATAACGGTACAGGTTCGTAGATATAGCAAAAAGAACAGTTACCTAGAGGTTGTCAAAAGTATTTACACACATTTTTTTTGCGTCATAAGTATTTACACAAAATTTAAACATTTTTTAATGGCATTAATTATTGTTATTTATTTTTAATTTTTGTTGAACATAATAAAGGGTTTATTTATTTAATTTAGTATTTTGTCATTCCCCTTTTTCGTCAATTACAGCCTGAAGCCTGGCTGGAATTGATGTTACCAATGATCGGGCGAAGTCAACTGTGAGCTCCGACCATATTCCGGTAACTTCCTGAATGGTATCATCCCGTTTCCGGTCCTTTTTGAATAGCCGTTTGGATTTTATTAAAGCCCAAACATTTTCAATAATGTTAAGGTCCGGACTTTGCGCAGGCCAGGGCAGGATTGCTTGATCTAAGTCCGCCAAAAACTTGGTGGGTATTGAGCCTTTGTGGCATGGAGCATTGTCTTGCTGCAATACCCATTCGATTGTTGGAAATAGTTTGTTCGCCGAAGTAAAAGCATTGTCATTTAATATGTGCAAATATCGTGATTGGGTCAGAGTGCCCTCTATTGGCACAAAATCTCCAAAACCATAGTACGACATGCAACCCCAAAACATTACTGTGCCACCTCCAAACCTGCTAAGAGGCTGCACTGCAGTTTTTTATTTTGTCGACTTAAATGCATAAAAGTCTTTCGAAATGAGCCTTGAAACTGAAATGCAACCTCATCTGTCCACAAAATGTTGTACCAAAACTCCAAAGGCTTTTCAATGTACTCTAAAGCAAAAGCAAGACGTTTTGCTTTGTTTGCTTCCGAGATATCAATGATTTTTCGGACGACATAGGTGTTTATGTCAACATCCTTTAACCTTCTACGAATAGTAGCATCACTGACATGTTTACCAATTATCTGTTGTGATGCTGCAGACACTTTAACTGGGCTTATCTCGGGGTTTTCTACGAATGTGCTGACAAGTCTTCTGCATTCCCTGGTGTTCAATGCTGGCTTTCGCCCACTTCGGTGTAAATTATTCAAATTTCCAAGTGTATCCCTTTTGTTAACCAAGTTATACACCGTTTTTCTAGATATTTTGAATATCTTTACCAACTCCGATGCCCCAACACCACTCTTAAACTTGGTTACGATCTCGGATCTTGTTTCGACTGATAGTTCCTTTGTTTTTACCATTTTACAGCACATCTACAATTTCAACTACAAATTGAATTCCGATCTTAGTCAAAGACCGCACATGATCAACGCAAATCAAAGACTAAAGGCAAATTTACATTGTGTAAATACTTATGACGCAAAAAAAATGTGTGTAAATACTTTTGACAACCTCTAGGTAACTGTTCTTTTTGCTATATCTACGAACCTGTACCGTTATTTTAGCAATTTCTTTTTGCCGATCGCTTCTACACAGAATAAGCTTTATGACACAAAAGCTTTTTTTCAAAAACAGCGAACAACAACAACAACAAGCTTTTAAAGCTGAGCATGCAGAAAAAAGCTCGGTGTGTAATTACTTTTGACCACCTCTGTATGTACATATATATACTGCATACATATTTATGTCTTTTATCTTCTGTTATGTTTCCTGATCGTAGGGTATAAAATAAACGCGACCAACAACAACTGAGAAATTCGCCAAAAAAAAAAAAAATGCCTAATATGTTGAAGTTATTCATTAATTAAGCAAAAAGACAGCTAGAATTTATAATAATTTATGCAAGTTTTCGATTGATTGTTGCTACTAAAAGCGAGAGCGAGAGCGAGAGAGAGAGTAAGACAGCGAGTGTGAGTAAGGGAAAGAGAGAGAGAGAGCGAGTGTAAACTTTTGCATAACCTGTAAATCAGTCAGCGTCATATTTTTAGCCAAAAGCTAAACTCAGCTAAATTGCCATAGCTAGAATAGGAAGAGGAAGGGGAAGGGGAGACAAAACAAACAAAACATAGATCAGCTGAGAGGAATCTGTGGCGAAAACCAGGTTTCACATGCCGTAGAAGCGAACCAAGCGCTTCCTGCTAGAACATGTTTTCGAGCCAGATTGGACGTTGACTCGTCTTTTATTTAGTTTTTAATCAATTTTCGATTTTGTTGTTTTGTCGTTTTTGGCCAGTAAGTGAGTGGTTAGGCAGTTAGTTAGCTGAAGCCACATTAAGGCCAGACGCGTCGCTAGCTGCGGTTCATTGTGACTTTGGGTCTGAGTTGATTGCACTGTGATCTGTGATCGCTCTTCCTGGTTCGATTGCTCATCTTCACCTCCCGATCTCCGTCTGTCTTGCAGCGTGCGTCCTTTGGGTGTCCTGTTCCTGGGCCTGTTCAGCTATTGGCTCTATTGGACACGGTGCAGCTATAGAGTGGTGCTCACGCCGCAGCTGCGCGAAAAGCTCGAGTCCTGGTTGCATCGCGCCGTCGATTGGCGCCATAACTCGCCCAGCATGTTCTGCTTGGTCAGCGCCGGCTGCCTGGCCACAATCGCCGTTTTGGGCCACCTGTTATCCGGCTCCGTGCTGGTGATGACCCTGCTGGTCGTCTCCGCCGTCGTCTCCACCAAATACAATTTCAAGCTTGTACATATCGAGCGCAGAGGTAAGTGCAATCCTGAATCTATTTTGCTTATATGCCACATGTTAATTAATTGCATTTGCAGATTTCCAATGGTCGGAGCGCATCAACTACAATAATGCCGTGTCCGAGCTGGACGATGAGTTCCTGCCGGACGTAAACGAATCGAATCTGTTTGTGCTGGAGCGGGCCAGCGATGTGGCCACCATCAGCTCACCCACCGATGCGGACGGCCTTGGGGATGGCGACGATGACGATCGAAGCGACGATGTGCCCTCCGAGCTGCTGATACCCGATTGTATACCAGAGATCGATGAGCATTCGACGGACGAGGACGATGAGCTGGTGCCCCTCTCGCAGTCCAAGCAAACTGCGGAAGCACAACAGCAACAGCAGCAACAGCAACAACAGCAATACGAACAGAGCCGACAGGCAATGGACAATGGCTCAGCGGACAAGACAATGGACTTTCGCCGGGGTCACTTCAAGCGTGACTCCTCGCTGTCCACCACCTCGTCGTCGTCGGAGGAGAGCCTGTCCAAGGGCCTGCAGTTTCCCGATCACACCAGCGTCGACGCTGGCGGCCCCTCGCTGCGCCAGCTGCCCGCTCCGCCCACTGGCGCTGATACTGCCAGCAGTAGCAATCTATTGACGTTGGCTGTCAAAACGCAAGCGCAGGCGCTGCTGCCCAGCCTCGTCTCCAACCTGGTGCAGTGGGGTGCCAGCGAGCTGGACAGCACCGCCAAGCGGCGCCAGGTGACGGCGCTGGACTCGTCCGATGAGAGCGACTTTGAGATACTCGAAACGGACGATTTCAAATAAACTGCTGTACGCGGGGCGGCGTACAGTATTACCAACTAATATCTATCTATCTCTCTCTATATATATACATATATATGCAATATATATTGAAAGATATATATTTATTCACATATTGCATACATACGCCTGTAGAAATCACAGATGCACAGAGAGAGAGAGGGAGAGAGACAGGGGGAGAGAGAGAGGGAGAGAGAGAGAGAGCGAAAGAGAGGGAACTCGGATTTGGTGGTTCTTTCGTTGCGGGCCAAGAATTTTGCATGCCATATGAGCAGACAGTCTTTAACTTAATCTATGTATATCGTAAATGTTGATTATATAGCTCCAATATAGATATGTATGACGTATTTATACATAAATGTAGATTTCTTGCATCCATATTTGGGTTCCCTTTCCCTTTCATTCTCTCTGCTGTTTGTGCTCTGTATATTATTAATTATAATTTTTATTGTAATTTTTTTTTTTTTTACTTTTAATCGTAATTGGATGCTTGTTTTATTATCATTGTGCTTTGGAGCAGCGGTTAAGTTACTAAAGACGCAAATTGAAATTTTGATTTGAGTTTCGTTTACGATTTCTATTAGCTGTATGCAAAAATGTAAATATATTAATATTCATACATACATACATACATACGGATACTCATGCAAATGTTGAGCTACTTAATCTAAAACCCTAAAAAATAAAACAAAAGCGAAAAACCAAACGAAGAATTGGACAAACACACATACATACATATTATTCTCTATAAACCTGATGCGGTGCTATAAACCATATTTAAAGAAAAATAAATATAAAACAAAAAATCGCTTGAAAAGAATTCGATAAACCTGTGTATAAATAATGCTACTTACTGATAATTGGAAATAAACTCAATTTATTTCAATAGTCGATGCTTTTTTATGTTTATCAACTCTATTGTGACTATTAGAAGTCTTTCTTCATTGTAACAAAGAAAATTCATTAGTTTCTAAATAAAATACATTATAACACTATGAAGTATATTACGTTCATTAACGACTTTAACTTTGACACCTTGAAAGAAAGTACTAGACTTTCCGTTTTTGCAAGTCATATGCAGAAATCTGACTTTAATTTTGAATGTATCGATTGGTATTATAATTAATAATATGGTGATGGCAGTGACTTCTGTAAAATTGTACAATATTTCGTGCGTATTTTGTCTTTTTCCTGAATAAATGCGCGCCGAACTTTAAATAGCTTAACAGAGCACATGGTAAACATAACATCACTAACAGAACAGTTAACTAATTAAAGAAATATCGGTGCTGATTTTTGCGTTTGCGCTTTTTTTAACAGCAGTGCGCGGCTGTTATTTGATTTGGCGATAAGTTGGCATTCCTTCACATCGAACAGAAAGTCATCGTCGTGGCATCGATGCTGCTGGTCTTTGCAATCGCGCCGCGAGTGTGTTATCGTTAACTTTAAATTGTCAATTTTCGACATAAGAAAATTCTGTAAGATTTAGTGAAAAAAACTAATTAATTTCTCAGACATTTCAAAGCTAAGAACTACCAGTTCCGCGTTATTTGAAGATAATTTTGCACAAGATTTCTCGCGCAACATCATTGCTTAAATATAATTAAAAAGTGACGATAATTAAACGATGAATATTAATAAGAAAGAATCCGTGGTTATTGCGGTGCGTGAAGCTCCCTTTCGTAACACAGGCATGCAAGGCATTAACGACATTGAAAGAAGCGTCCTCGAGTTCTCCAGGGAGTGCCCCAAGGTAAATATGACGTGCAAAACAAATTTCATCTGTCATCCACGTTCAGTAGAAATTTAACCTGTCAATTGAAATTAAATATGGCTTCTTCATACAGGCAGTGGTTGTCGATGGCACCGTGTATAGTTTTGATCACAGCTTCGACTCGAAAGTCTCGCAGGAGCAACTCTATCGGACATTGATCCATCCGCTGGTGCTGAAGGCATTGGCCGGCTACGACTGCACTGCCATGGCCTATGGCCAGACAGGAACTGGCAAAAGCTATTCCATGGGCATGACTGCCGAGGTGAGTGCTCCACACATACATATGTATACTAAGGCAGCTCGAGCTGATTGAGCATCTGTTTAACTCCGTAGAGAATGTCGGAGGAGCACGTCGGCATTGTGCCCCGTTGCCTGAAAGATATTTTGAAATATATGAATATTAATGATCAAAAAGAGAACCACGCTGCAATGGGAGAGGTTTTTGCCTCATTTATAGAAGTCTATAATGAGAAGGCCTACGATCTGCTTGCGGTCGACGTCAATGAGCCGTTGACCTCGCGCACCCATCCACGTTTCACTGGCGGCACCTGCATGCCAATGAAAAGTCAAAGGGATCTGTTGCAGATTTTGATGCTGGGCACCAAGAACCGCCATGTGCGCGCCACCAACATGAACAATAACAGCTCTCGCTCCCATGCCATTGTCACCATACACATCCAGCAGGGCTTCCAGCACTCGCGCCTCAACATCATCGACTTGGCCGGCTCCGAGAGTATTCGTCGCACTGGCAATGAGGGCATTGCTCGCGCCGAAGGTGTCTTCATCAACATGGGACTCATGGGCATCAACAAAGTGATGGCATCCTTATCCGCTGGCCGCTCACTGATACCGTACCGTGAGTCCATTCTAACAACTGTTCTACAGGGTATGTTTGTTGGGTATGCATATGTGGAGTCCAAACTTTGTGTGTTGCGCCTGTTCCAGCATTTCGTGTTTAACGTATTTTTACTATACTCTGAATCCTTTGAAAATGTAAGGACCCCTGCACACCCCATAAAGTATATATGCATGTATGTATATTCTTGACGACCTAAGTCGATCTAGCCTTGCCCGTCTGTCTGTCCGCACCTACGACCGTCTGCTGTTTATTTTTCGTCGTCGATAAAAACTTTCGAAATTCATTTCTAAAATTATATCTCCTGCATCTTTAGAGTCTCGCAATTTTGTATTTAGTTTTCCCATTTCATGTGTATTTCATTTACAATTTCAATTATTGTTATATTTCAAATTATATTTTATTTTATATTCCAAATTAGATGATAGTATAGATCATATGCTGAAAACTTCATTAAAATCCGTTAAGTAACACAGACGGCATTTAACGAAATGTTTGGCCAATAGGAAAACGCAACGTCAAAATTTTTCATGTACATACATATATTACATACATGTGTACGTGTGCACACATACACACATTCAAATGTGTGCCTTCTGGCATATTCTAAACCGGAAGTGTGCTCACTAATTTGGTGCTGAGCCGCTAGGTGGCGTCATGGCAATGAAGCAGTGTCAGATTGACAACTGCTCTAGAGTCCAGACTCGGTGCACTGATATTTGTTTCTTTTTTTCTATTTTGCGTTTTATAACACTTGGTGTTTGATTCTGAAAGTGCAAGTTCGAGAATTGTAATAATTTTGTATTGTTTTATGAAGGATTTCAGAACCTAGCCCATTCGGAATTAGGGGTAACTCCTAGTCGGACACTTCGAGTTCAGAGTTCTTAATTGTGTAATTATACAATGTTTTTTGTTTTTAGCTTCTTTTAACTCACAGTGCAGTCTAACGCTGTTGGCCTGCATCAGTCCACATGCCAGTGACCTCAACGAAACTCTTTCCACGATTCGCTTCGCCAAGAATGCCAAGCAAATGAAGATTACTCCACAACTTTCGCAGCAGATACACCAGATGCAGGAGATGCATCAGAATGGGGTAAGTAATACAATGATGCAACAATTATATATAATTATAATCTACACAGTCCAAAATGACGCCGCGCATGCGTTGCTTGTAGAGCAGCTCGTTGCCGTCGCCCAAGAAGCCGACTTTTCGTAAATTGGTTGCGGCGCCGCCTTCGACCAGGTCGCTGATGGCCTGCAGATCGGGCGCATCCTCGGTGCGAATGGTCACAATGGGCAACACCATCATGGCCAGCAGCAAGCCCACGGCGCCCTTCTCATGCAGCTGCTGCTTGAACGCCGACAGCGGGAATACGACTTCTGGCCGCTCGCCCAATCTTTCAAGATTGAAGATTGAAGAAGTATAGAGCAGGAGAAATTGAGAGCTCAGCTTACCTGATCAATTGCTGTCGCAGCGCTTCGTAGTACAGCTCGAGCATCGACTCGTAGTGCTGCCGTCGGAAGTCGCGCGTGGTGCAGCTGAACAGGAAGTAGGCCAGGTCGGTGACGGGCGAGGCGTAGCGCATTAGCTGCCAGTCGATGAGGCGGACCTCCGTCGGCTCCTCGCTGCCCGGCTGGCACTTGTACAGGAAATTGTTGTTCCAGCTGTCGCCGTGGCAGACCACTGCAAATGGCTCGCAGTTGGAGCCACTGAGCAGCGCTGTGAGCATCGCAAAGTAACTGCCCCGCCCGAAATACTCTCGCAGGCGCTCTATGTAACTGCAGTCGGTCTGTGGACGGAGGGCATCCAGTGCGCTCTGCTTCAGCTGCTCGAAGTAGGCAGCCAGGCCTTCGTCGGAGCGCCGCTGCTCAAATATGTCCAGCATCTGCTGGAACGGCCGCAGCTGCTGCGGCTGTCGGCGTTTCATGGCCAGAGAAACGGCATGCAGCTTGGCATAGGCGCCCATGACCAGGGAGACGTACGCGGGCGTCAGTTCGGCGAAGCGATCGTGCATTTGGTAGCCAGCCCGACACAAGTCCTCCAGCACAATGCACTCGTTGGGCTCGTCCTGGCGCGTGGCCAAGTGGTGCGCGTAGTGGCGAAACTGTTGCGCCTCCTCCAGCTTTCGCTCTGTCTGAAATCTGTTCGCGAGCGGCAGGAACTGCTCGTAGGCCAGCGCCTCGCGCTTGAAGCACGGCCGGGCAAAGAATTGCTTGCGCCTGACGGCATTCTGGGGCGGCAGCTTCAGGACCAGACTCTGATCCGGCGGGACGTGTATCCGCCACACAATGCCCAGGTAGTTGTTGCCCTTAGCGCAGGCCAGCTCGAGCGTGTAGTCGCTGCGTCCAAGCACTTTCTCAAGAGTCTCCCGCACGCTGGCATTGGGCAGATCCTCCTGTTGCTCCATTGCCCGTCTACTGAGACGGCTGCGAGGCCTTTGACTGCTTTTATAGCACGCATAAATAAACCGCAAGCGCAACCGCAGAACTTGAGCTGCAGTCAAGCTCATTGCAAATGGCAAGTCGAGGTATAACGGTTTTGTTACAATGTATGTAACAGGCAGCAAGAGGCGTGGCAGACCCTATAGAGTATGTAGATATTCCTGATGATTAGCTGAATCCAACTGCCCGCCCGTCCGTCCGTCCGTCTGTCTGTCATTCCTATCCCATATCACACGCTTATCGAGTGTAAAAAAAATTGATAATTATTCTTCTTTATTTTTTATAGTTTTAAAAATCCGCTATAGAATTGTATCGCATACATCTTTCGAGCTAGACTCTCCGAATTTCGCATATAACTTCACTTATAGATGCAAAGTTTGGAGAGGCTCGTTCTAAAGATGAATGAGATATAATTTGATAACTGATTTTTATTATTTTTTCGATACCGTTCCCAAATCCAATCCATCCTCAATTGTGCAAAGATCCTCTGTCATATATATTTTATTTTTATATTTTGAAACTTTGATGCAGATAGGATTTATTCACCAATACAGTTCCCATGACAAGGCCCAAATTGCAGTCCAAGCACAGTCGCTCCTTCAGGGGATGTCCTAGTCGGTCGTCCTCGTTTGCAGCTTTCTCACATGTCATGTCAAATATCCATTTTTTTGATTGCAGCGCTCCGCCCAAGCAACTTCCAATCAAGGCATTACCCAGAACCTGGGACGTCTGCGGCCCAGCTCCGTCAACATCAGGCGCCGACCACCGCCCAACGCCAATCCAGGTGCTCGCAACAGCTTCAGCACTCGCATGCCCCAGGGGGCACAGCCGAACTCCAGAAGACGGTAAATAGAATATGTTATTTGTGCACAACTAAGGAAAATGAATTTTGACCAAGATTTCTGCTCATTGACAGTGCTCGTCGTGCGCAAAACGCATTATTGTCCTCGTCGGACGAGAGCGACACCGGTGTGGTGCCAACTGGCGTGATTTCGCCAACTATAGCTGAATTTCTGAAGCTCAAGAAGGAGTACGAGGAACTGCAGCGCGGGCTAAGAGAGCTAAGAGAGCAGAGGGCTCAGCAAGAGGTCCAGGCAGAGGAGCCGCCTTTGGCCGCTGAGCGCCCACAACCATCTCAGCTTACCTTCCGTGAGTTTGCCTCGGATCTATTTTCCATCGCCGAGGAGGGCGATGCAATCCCTCCTCCGCCTTTCCGTCTATTTACCAGTAGCCCGACCATTTACAATAATCAAGATGCTAGTTTGCTTCATATGAGCAGCATATCTTCAGCCCCTTCAGCCGTGTCCGCGGAGGCAGCTGTTGCCGCAGCTGAGCCAATGCCTAGTCGCCTTTCAACGCGCTTAAATAGTCGCCACGCTCAATTCATTCAGGATATCACTAATGGCCAGGATCAAAGGCCGCTGCGCCGCAGCTCTCGTATTGCCAGTCAATCGGGAGGGCCGCCAACTGAACGTAACGAAGCAGCTGAGAGAACTGAAGGAAATGGAAGAGCTGAAGGCCCATCCCAACTACGTGCCACGTCAGCGCTGGCCGCTATCGGTGAGCGTTTCACCATGGATGGTACCGTAGGCTCCCAGAGAGCCCGCTTGCTCAAGCATCGCGCCGAGCTATTGTCCTTATTGAATACGGCTAGCGTTAAGGATTTGCAGGCTTTGCCTAAAATTGGACCGAAAACAGCAATGGCATTGATCATGCAGCGGTAACTACTAAGCCCGCTTCGCTTGCCTTACATTTGAATTTGAACACATATGCTCACACTTCCTCTATTCGCAGCTCGGTGTTGGGTCACTTTAGGAACTGGAAGCAAGTGGAGAAGCTCCCCATTTGGAAGGACATTAGCTTTTCTCGCTTCGCCAAGGCAGTTTGCATTGAGATTGACCCATAATCCATTTTTTTTTTTCAAATTTATTTTTAGCTTCCCAGGCTATCTAAATATATAAATCCCACTCAGAGGAGCACCAATCCAAATATATAAATCCCACACAGAGGAGCACCAATCTAAATATATAAATCCCTCACAGAGGAGCACCAATCCAAATATATAAATCCCACACAGAGGAGCACCAATCCAAATATATAAATCCCACACAGAGGAGCACCAAGTTGGATGTGCATGACTTAAAAATAATTAAATCTAATATAATCTTTATATTTAGATAACGGAAAATTGTGTTTAGCTTATCATTTAGTTGGGGCTTTCTTCTTTTTATTTTCATTTTACTGTTTTGTTTTGTACCGATTTTTGTGCTGGCATATTTATTTAGTACTGATAAACAGTCATCTAATTAAGATCTCACAAGTTCCTAATATAAACGTAGTTTAAGTATTGAATACTAAATAACTAAACATGAGTTGACATACACCAAGTGCATCCAACATTTTTACAGTTAATATTTACTGAATATATGTATGTTACGTATATTATTAAGAATTTTATGTTACTTTATGAGCAAACACCAAGGTCGGTGGGAGATCTGAAACTTGTTAAAGTCTTGGGCTTAAGACTCTCAATGACATGGAATGACTGATTAGAAATATCTTTAGGCTATATCTTCAAGAAATCTATCGGCTTGATATGCCATGATTTATATACATTTATATATATATATAGACTTTTACATATTTACATAAGTAAAGTACAAGTCGATTACATAAACTAATCCGAATTTAAGAAGAAAGCTTTATATAGCTTAGTATACTGTGATGGATCTGATGCAGATGATATATTAGCATATTACATAATATATATGTATGTATGCATGTTCATGTAACTGATGGTGCTACTGAGCAGTAAGTGCTCGACAATAAAATTTATACTTTTAAGACACAATATGTATTAGAAAATATATACATACAACTTGAGTTGTATGTTTTGTGATGAACTGCAATCGTCAGGAATATATTAAATATGACCGAAAGTAGGGAATGTTTTTTTTTTGTTTTTGTAATTCTATGCGTTCCATTCTAAATAAAAAATGCGAATCTTAAATCTAAATAATTCCTAATGATTTTTGTTTTATTGGTAGCAAAACTAATTCATATTTATACATACATATATATAACATTTATATTGATGTAAATATGTATGTATGTATGTTAGCTACGAATTACTTGAATTGGACTATTACTAGGATGTATGTATGTCTGTATGTTTGTGCAACTTCTTTTTTCTCTTGCCGTGAGCCGTTATATTTTTGTTCCCTCTATGTTCAAAATTCGCAAACATTGAGGTATGTATGTATGTATGTACATATATGCATGAGTTCATTTCAGTGCGCACGTGTGTGTGTGTGTGCGTGCATGCATTTCTGCTGCCTCTTGTGCCGTTATCAGCCGAAGAGACTTCAGCTTACCTTTATTGTCTGCTGTTAAGGTTTTTGTTTAAATTGTGTTTGGTTATTGGTAAACAAGATAACGAGCAGCAAATGAATACACAAACGTTTTAAAATAATAACAAATATTACATACATATATATGTAGGTACTTATGTATACATATGTATGTATGTGCAAATGTACATATGTATGTATACACACTAATATTGAGGCATTTGCAAGTGCAAATCGCTTATAAATGATAACGCATTAATTGAAGAACTGGGTAAAGCAGAAGAAATCGCCTGCCAATGGCAGTTTGTGCCAAGTGCAAAGTCTTATCGTAGATAGCCAAAGATCGGGCCAAAATGAAAACAATGCGATGCATGTTAGACTAGCAAATACTCTGCACTTGTCAATAGCTTACTTGTGTGACAGCTAACAAAGTATAAGTTGCACTTATAAGAGCGCTTCGTTATTTTGAAAGCTTTCCCAATTGTTTATTACGCAGATCTTGAAAAACATTATTTTTATTGAACAGCTATCTAGAGCTATCTAGAATGATAGGTATATAGATATGGGAAAAGCTTAAATCTAGCAGTCTAATGTATTTTAATGTATCATATAAATTGCAGCTGTTAAATAATGTTCAATTTCATATGCAATTTTTTTTCACTTCAAAATATACAGGGTATAAGTACATATCAACGTTGTTTGTCGCATTTTACTCACACCAGAGCACACACATACACCCATATGTACACATACACAATGTCAATTAAGCTATTCGATTTAGTTAGTCGAAAATATTTTAGAATGACTTTCAAATTCTGACCTTTAATAGGTTTGCATAGCTGTGAACAGTTTTGTTTCGATCTGTAGGAGAGCTTATGGGGAAAGCAAGTTTTATATATGTATGTATGTATATATACATGCAATATGATATTTATCTAGTATTCAGATTCAAAACAAATATTCTCTTAATTGCATTTTGTACCGATCTTATGTATGTTTGTATGTACATATGTACGTGCAATCCTCCGCTTAGGCATTAAAAATCAAATCACGCTACAAAATGCTTTCCAGTGCTGTGAAATTTAAGTGCGCTATCTGATAATGAAACAATAAAGAAATATAATAATTAGTTGTGATGTCACCAATTCTAATCAGCGCGCGATCGTGTGTTTTGCATGTGAAGCAAACTAATTGAGAGTTGATTAAATTTAACTAATTAAGAAATTGACAAATAATAGAGAATGAAAATGCAAATCTAAATGTGGTGAGAAAATTAGTGTAATTATAAAAAATAATTAATAATATACATATGTATAATATAATAGTAAATATTGTTGCAATCGAGCTTTTTTGTGATTGTGTCATAACACTCATTTTCCTGAGCCCATTTATATTACATACACACACAGCTGCGCATGTATGTATGTGTGCGTGTATGTGCATATGACGACATTTGTGCGCACCACACCTTTTTCTGCAGTCTGTGTATGACTGTCAATCATGCTGGCCGTCAATCGGCGTAGGGTGCACAGCCCGTATATTAACTGCGCCGCAAAATCAAGACAAGTACATAAATTGTAAAAAAAAGCTTCAACCACAACACCACCACCGCTAACAACAACAACAATTAATAATAAAACAGAAACAGAAAACAACGGCAGCGAACACAACAAAATGCCAAACGAAAACAAACAAGTAAAAGTGGTCTAGACTGTCAAATATGACTGCAAAATACCCTGTCTGCCCAACAAGCACACACACATATGGTGGGCAGTAGGTGCTATAAAGTTAATAGATAAAATAGAGTTTTTCTGTTATTTGTTAAAGTGCATTGTAAATGCTCTGGAAATCAGCTTTTAATAAAACTTTTTGTATTACACAACTCAGCTGTTAGCAATCATAGTCAGGCATACCCGCTTTGCGCCTTTTTGGCGTGCAGGGCATAGAAAGCAGGCAAAGCAAGCAAGCGACGACCGGCTTCTCTTCTTTTTCGTGCTTTACAGCTATACACACACACACACACACACATTCACAGAGAGAGACACGACTGCGCCTCAGCAGCTGCGCCACGCATGTGTTCATTCAATAGCTCCACTGCTGCCTCTCTCAATACATGCGCAGCGACACTCACACACATTTGAATGCGGCCGCTGGCAGCGCAGGCGTAGCCCGCCCGCCGCGGTAGCGGTTTGGTGAATGCAGCGACGCTGGCGTTGCCGTTGGCGCTGACTTCTTTGCCAATGCGCTGCGACGCGTTTAAAATGTCGCATTCGCCGACGCTTTGAGCTCAGTCTAAAAACGGCAGTTAGAGCGATTGACCAGTCATCTGCTGCCCCTGCTGCACACACACACTAGTCAGATAGACAGTTAGTCAGTCAGTCAGTCAGTCAGTCAGTCAGTCACTAGGCGCTTGTTCGTTCTTGTGTTCCGCTCCGAATTAAGTTGCTTTGATTATTCGTATTTGAAATTGAAATTGACCTTCTTGGTGGACGCGTTTTAGTGAAAACAATAAAAGCAAAAATCGAATCATAGACACAAAGAAATCGTAGAACGAACAGCAACAATAACAGCAATGACGCCGGTAAAGTTCTATTTCGATTTTCTTAATCAGGCTAGCCGATCCCTTTACATACTATTGGAGGCATCCAAGATTCCATTCGAGGCGATACCCATATCAATGGTCAAAGGTAAGTTGAGTACGTGCTCAAAAGCTCGCGCAGAAGCCCAAAGGTTGTTTCCACATTCACACACACACACACACACATACACAAATACAGCTCAAATTACTACACACATATGCAGATGCATACATGTATGTATTGCATGTATATATGCATGCACTTAAGTCTATTTCTATCTCTTTCAAATACAAAAAAAAATTTTTTGAGCGTTTCCAAAAATTTTCCACTTGTTTAAAATTCAGCTAATCAAGTTATCGAAGGGGAAAGTGAAATACGTGTATAAATAAATATGTATGTTAATGTCTAACTGATAGATAGGCTTCTATAAAATAATTAAAATATACACCACATATTATAATAATAGTAATGAGATAATAATAATAAATAAAAAAATTAAACAGACATTTTTTAAATCAGACTGATTATTTTAGTTGTTAAAAATATAATTCGAAATTCGATTTGATATACTTCAAAAAATTTAATATAAATTCGGGTTTTTGTACAAATATATAAAACATATTCATGTATAATATTAAATTGATTATAAACCGTTTTAAATTCTGTTTTATATAAATTAGATATCACATATATATGTATATTTTTAAATACAATTAGAAATGCGATATGGAATACATCAAACATAAACTATGTTTTATATTCAATTATATAAATCATATTATAGTTTTTATGTGTACATATATTATTATTATTGTTATTAGAAATATAATTACAAATCAGATCTGCAGTACTCCAAAATATTTGATATCATTTCTGTTTTTCACGAACGCTAAAACGTGACATTTCAATTATTTTACAAGTACCTACATATTTATTAAGGTACAGTTACCGAAAACCATTATAAATAACAACAACAGAAAATAAATAAATAAAAACATTCAAATTTCAATTTACCTTAGTCATTAGATTAGATTGTTAATCATCAATTCAATTCAATTTAATAAACATGATATAAGTATATGTAGGACTCCGAAATTAATGAGATATTTTTATTTTGATAAGTCAAAAGGAAAACAAATGAATTTCTTTCTATATTTAGTCTCCATAGATTGTTCCTATGTCATAGTTATCCGATGTTGATAAGCGTTGTTAAGAACATGCAAGGAATGACAAGTCTATGATGACTCGTCGCCTGATACTGATAAAGAATCTAATGCCGACTAACAAATGTATACACAGATATAGGTATATATGTATGTAGCTAGTATGAGCTTAATGAGGTCGAAGATGTCTTACAGTTCGTATCACCATATACTACAATATATATTCACTATCTATATGGTCGAATCGGCAAAATAGAAGAAAGAAAATACCTCAAATACATGCATGACTCGTATAGATACCCTAATGCCTATATGAATAGATAATTGTTTTAGTTTAATTTTGCAGTAATTACCTTTTTGCGCAGTCGATATGCATGTACGTATGCATGTATGTATAGACATTGGTAATATCTGTGTTAATATGGCCGAATCATGGATCTAAAATACACTTTTCGCACGCAGCTGCAAGGTTTGCTTTGTGGTCGAGGAATGAAAATAGAATCGGCAATATTTGAAAAAATATTTAAATGATAAACAAGAAAACAAGTTTGGTCGCTCAAAGCAAAGCCGTCTTCGACTAGAATATACCCTGTAGTTGGCATTAAGCCTAATTTGCATGGCATCTTTTCATAATAAACATTTCTTAAATTTTCTGTTTTGGATCTGATGCATGGATATGAACATTCTGACTCTAAAGCCCATATTTACATTGTGCAGCTAGGGTACAGGGTATACAAAGAGGGCAGAAGAAAATCAAATGTGTTTGTTTATTAGCGGGCGCGTGCTGTTTACACTGTTGAGCAAAATAGCTTGATGAAAAGAGGCTAGAGATAGCTTAGGCGCTTTGGTTTATAGCTGGTTGTTTTTTTGTAATCTCTTTTAAATTGATAAGCAATAAAGTTGAGCTTTTTCTTGATTATACGTAGAGCATATTCTAGAGTAGGACTGATAGAGCTAATATCAATTTGTGTGTAATCAGAGTGACTACCAAATATCTTCTCTTTTAATGATATGCCGCGCCCACATTTGGTTGTATAAATAACAAAAATGCACACTTTGAAAATTGATTAGCAAATCGATTTCGATTATTCTGTACGCCAATTGAGTATCGTTATCAGCAAACAAATAATAATCGATCATTGGAATGGAGGGCTAGCAAAGGAGCAGAAAGTACAGTTGTGTTTACACTAAAAAAAAAAAAAAAAGAAGCACGTAGAATCTATCAGAAAATATAAGCTGAAAATTGTCCTACGAATTTGTTAATGGAAATATTCATTACTATCAGGAAACTACAATGGGCATATTATAACTCTTACCATAACCGTAACTATGTTGCGCAGTGTTTTTTGTTTTCGTCTTGGCGAAAAACACGCCAAACATAGCAGAAGCCGCAGTTAAACCTATTGACTTGGTCAAGGTTGAAATCTGTTGACTTGTTAAGTGAAATATTAGAGCTGAGACATACACACATGTACATATGCACATACATACACACATATATAGCAGGGTGTATACATGCACAGATGCATTTCTATATTAGATTTTTCGCTGTTGTCAGCTATCTCGAACTTCCCGATCTATAGATGCATGCATATGCATGTATCCGCATCAGCTGTATGCAAATTGCGGACTAGCTCAGTGGCTTCCGCCAGTTGGCGCAGCGGCGAGTGCAGCAAAACTTGAACCTGAGTGGACTTTGGAGCGTACGAAATCGAAATGCAAACGACTTTTGCTCAATAGTGTAAACGTGCATTTGGCCGACTGGCCACTGGCCCCGAGCCAGTGCATTGAGCCCGGCCAAGCTGCAGCCGAGATCTGGCCAGCTCACGTTTGTCCATAGAGCAGACTGCCTTGAACAGATTAATGGTCGCATTGCATGTCTCTGCGCGTTAGACTGATCGATGCCCGAAACGGTACAAACAGAGCTGTTAAAAAATATCTATGTATATATGTATAAATATGATATGTATATATTCTTCAAGTGAACGAACTTTGTTAGCTTGAACTAACTTAGGTGTCAGCATTAGAAATTGCTTGAGGTTTAGATATTCATAGTGAACTTTAAGATCTCATGACCTATGACTCAGCGTTAGACATTGTTTAATAATAGACTGTGACTATCTGTAGATCTATTGAATTTATTGAATCATCCTCTTCCACAGGTGAGCACTTAACGGGCGAGTTTCGGGACAAAGTCAATCGGTTCCGCAAGCTGCCCGCGATCACCGATCACGGCTATCAACTGTCCGAGAGCGTGGCCATCTTCCGTCATCTGGCGCGCGAGAAGCTCGTGCCGGAGCACTGGTATCCGCACCGTCACCTGGGCCGCAGTCGTGTCGACGAGTATCTCGCCTGGCAGCAGACCAACATGGATGTGGCGTGCACCGACTACTTCCAGCAAAAGTGGCTGGTGCCCTACCTACAGAAAACGCGACCCTCCGATAATGCGGTAAGTGCGAACATATTTCACTATACTGTATGTAGATTATACAATAAATCATAAATTTATAGACTATATACTATAGATATAGACTATATGACTATGGATATGCGTCGGATATTCAGTTCATTAAACTAGAACCCACCGATCCGATCTCGTCTGATCGTAAGCATTCCAGACATCAATTTATATGTTGAAAGTAAACGTCCATCTGTGATTTTATTGCAGTTCTAAAACTAGTTTTTATTAGTTACCTGGAATCCTTAGCAGTGCTGCAGCTGCTAAAGAAATGAACTTAACGTTGACTTTAGGTATATACTGTTAGAACTTTCAGTAAACTAAAGTATATTTAGAGTCAGTTGTCCAAATTGAGAAATTTAGAATCATACAGATAAGACAATTATGGGAGCTTTCATGGAAAGTATCTGATAAGGATATCATGCAGTCAACGCAGTCTTGCTATTCTGATTTCCGAATTCCCATATACATATATGTATGTATATCTAAGTATTTGTTTGAAGAGCCTGGAGAGTCAACTAAAACCTGTAGCTTTTATGCCTTAAAAATTTAGCAAAGTTATCGATTTTATTGATAGCAAGGGCTTGAATTGAGCTATCAAAAAAAGTATAATCTTTTATTGCATGTAAGAAATATACTATATTAATACTATAAGTCTCGAGCAGATGTAATACTAATAGATGGACCGACGGATGTACGAATAGATATATGAGATATACACATGGTTGAATAGACTCAGCTCGTTGTTCTGATGAGGAGTGCACGTACATACTTTATGGGGTCTGCCACGCCCCTTCTTTCGGTCACATTTCCATTCTCAGAATTTCCACAAGTACAATTTACATTAAAATACAACATTTGAATATAATTGTGAATTCAGGTGAATTCAGCTAGCAAGCAGCTGGAGCACACGCTTAATGACTTCGAGGAGCTGTTCCTGAATTCCCGTAAATTTATGCTAGGCGAGAACATTTCGTATGCGGACCTCAGTGCCATCTGCGAAATAGACCAGCCGAGTAAGAAAATATTTGAGCCAATTCCATGTTGATAACAATAATAACGATATCGATAATATTTGCAGAGAGCATTGGCTACAATACCTTCAAGAATCGAAATAAGCTGGCCCGCTGGTACGAAGCAGTGCGCGAGGAGCTGGGCCCCTACTACACCGACGTCCAGAAGGAGTTCGAGGCCAAGCTGAAGCTGACCAATGATGCTGCGCAGGGCGAGAAGCAGGCGCAGGCGGTCAAGCAATGATCAGCCCAGATCGCAGCAGCTTTTGTTTATATAAATGTCTATATATGTATATATACCCTGTACACATTGGAGAGAGGGTGTCGTTGGGACGCTGTAGTATGCTTACACCTACTTTTGTCTGTCTTTCAGTTTGTTTATCATTTTAAGATCGTTTCAGGATCGATTCAAATATCTTTTAGAACTAACTTTTTCACATCGGAAATTCGAACTCTAACTTTTCACTAGTCTTAAATCGAATCAGTCTACCTAATGCCTACAGGGTTAAAAATTCTATATATTCGGTAACCGAAGATAACTTTATTTTGTATTTTGTATTTTTTTTTTTTTTTTTTTACCGTATGTAGCTGTTACGTATTAAACTGTGTGTATATTTTAAGAGAGCTATGTTAAAATATTGTATCGCAAGAAACCCCCGAGTTTTAAGCTAGTTTGGTCTACATTGTAAAGCCGCTCTGATATATTGTTACGAATCGATGTTTTCTACAGACTTATATGTGAAGCGATATATGTATGTACCTTAAAGATATTTGCCTACCTGTTCCCGCATCTATTCCACTGTGATGAGAGTATTCGACAGTCGATTGTAACCGACTGCACAGTTCTCACTTGTTGAAATGTACGACTTTAATAAATTGGTTTTGTTTTTATTTTTGTTCTTGCTTGTTTGTTTTATGTTTATACTAAAATACCTTGAAAGTTATTGTATTTAATGACCTGCATCTAAAAATAATATATATATATATATATTTACTAAAATTGAATTTGAAAGAAAATTTGCATTTTAAGCCGGTTGTTGTTTTTGTTTCGGTTGTTCTCTTAAGTGTAGTAGATCTAGTCAAACATATTGTTTTTACTCTGTGAAAGCGAGTGTATTGGTTTTTTGTTTTTTGTTTTTTTGTTCGTTTTGTTTTGTGCAAGGCTCGTTCGTATGGCCGACTGTCCGTATTACCGTTACATAGTATTTGCTTCCAATGCTTTACTTATACATATGTACATCTGCTCTTGTCTGAGAAAGCTTTAACAATTCGTATTTGCATATTTATAAATAATAAATACATGCATATATGTATGTATGCGTTTATGGTAAGCTAGCTAGAGTGACAATTACAATTACATCGAAATTTAGTTGTGAACGCACACATGTTCCACAGTTTTTCTAGTTTCAAGCTTGTGCCATCTCGCTCTCACTGAATATGTATGTATTTGTGCACATACATAAGTATGTTCCTCAGCTATAGAGCAACACCCAAAAATGTTCAATAGAAGTTGTTTGAGCAGAGCGTAGGCTATCTCGCTCTCGCTGCCTATGTATTACGAGTTCCCTGAACAGAGCTTAACTATCTCGCTCTCACTGCATCTGCCTTTGCACGCGATTCTAATGGAAGATCCATGTTTGTGTTGGTGTGTGTGTGAGTGGGAGTGTGAAGGAAGTCACAGTGCGTTTCGTTCTTATTGGCTATCGCATATAATGGAAGGCTTCGCTCGTTCTCTCATAGAGAGCGTGGAAAGCTGAGCATAAGTTTAGTACCAGAGACAGAGGAATTTCTGTGGCATGTTTGAATTTAGCGAACTAGAGTGATTTTAAATGTGATTTCCAGCATCGTAAACGAATCTGAAACCGATTTCATTCGAACCAATACGGCAAGAAATGGGTTTGGGAAATACTTTGTTTTGGCACTTTCTGAAGTCGAACTAAAAATTGGAAGCTTTCGATCTTAAGCCTAACTAGCAAAGCCATCTGGTCTTCGATTCTATATATAAGCCGAGCCGCCTACTGGTCGTGTCTGTTGCTGGGATTCGCAACTTATCGATACTTAGTTTTCGTTTCGATAACTCCGTGTGTTGTTCTGTTGTTAGTTTGATTTGATTCTAATGAGCTAGTCTGTCTAATTACTATCCATATACAATGTGCATGTATGTATGTATACGTGGCTTGTGCGCGATAATATTAGTTTTCTTTGATTTAGTTTTTGTTTTTGTCATTCTTTCATTTTGTTTTTGTTTTAGTCAAAAGGCACTGCTGCATTCTAGCGCATTGTTCTCTGGGCTTTGCGATTCGCCCTCTCTCTTTACACGTACTTAAAAAAGTATGCGTTTTCTTTTTTTCAATTATTGATTTCTGCATTTCCTCATGTATTTGTGTATTAATGTGATTTTGTTTTAGCGCCCATACAGTATTATCTATGTTCTCATTACACATAGTCCTAAAAAGAAATATATATATGTATATGCATGTAAAATACACATATACATATACATATACATATATGTATATACAAAGACAATTTGTATTTGCATTTGTATTTTCTCTTTGCAAGTCCTTTACAGCTAAAGCTTTACACATTAAAACTTGAAACATTTACAATACATTTTGAAGCACATCGAAAAGTTCATTTTCTTGTTTAAGTCTGACACACACACACATATACATATGTACATACATACATACATACACTAATTACTTAAAGGAAACAGCAATAATATATATGTATGTATTTGCTGTTGCTGTTGCATGTTTGTTGTTGTTGTCTTTGTGCATTAGGAACACGCTCGGCCATTGGAAGCGTCGGGCGACCAAGAGCAGAAGCCTGATTAATTACAGTTATTAGCCAATATTTTGTTGCTGTTGAATTGTCTATCTAAATATACATACATAAACCAAATGGATTCATTAACCATTCTCAATTGTGCATTGTTCTCAGTGTGCCGAGAAATACCAAAAAGCAAAAGAAAATAAAGCTAAAACGAAAACAACTCGCATTACTGCTAAGGGAATATCCCTAATACTGCTCTATACATAGGTATAGTTAGGCATCCAAATCGGATGTTTTACGGCTTTAAGAGCTGTGGCTAAAAGCAAATTTGATTTTATTTGAAACTCTCGTTGGATTTAGACTTAAATCTTCTTCTAGCAGTAGTCAAAGTTGATTTCTTTAATCTTTTGGTATTTCTTGGCACTCTGAAGTCCTTTGACGGCCTACTAAGCTGCGTTTTGATTAAAAGCTTACATCTAGGTGACGCTTGAGCTGTTGCTGTCTATTCGAGCTGATCGTCTTGGCTTTGGTCTTCGTCGTCGATGGCGTCCTCCTCCTGCTCGTCGTGCTCGTTGAGCAGGGGACTGTCGTCGCCCAGCCGATTGGGCGGCAGCCCGCTGCCCGGCGTTGTGGGTGCCGACCGCGAGATCCAGCCCTTGCGGGCGACCCGTCCGCGATTCACGAAGAAGTTGGCGCCGCTGACCACGCTGCTGATGGGACTCTTGAGCACACAGCGCTGGGCCGCCGGCGGCGTCACCACAGCCATTGGTATGTAGAGCGCCTTGTTGGGCGGCTTCGACGCGTAGAACTTCTTGGCTCTGCTGGGCGTTGCCGCTGTGGGCGTGGTCGAGGTCGGGGTCGATGTGGAGTGCTGGTGCAGCAAGGAGGCGGGCCGCGCCAACGGCTTGGCCAGCGCGGCTGGCGGCAGCTGCGGCTTGGCTAGCAGCAGCTGCTCGTAGCTGACGTCCGCCTGCAGCTTGCTAATCTGATCCAGAATCTCGCGCACCTCGCCCGTCGGGCTGGTCGCCTGTGGCGGCGAGCCGGGCGTGCCAATGTTCGATAGGCTGCTCACGCCCGACACAGTGCTGCCTGTGGTCGGCGCCGCGGCCGCCGCCGCCGCTGCCGCCTCTACAGCCGACACCAGCTGGCAGCAGTTCTCGAGGCTGTGCAGCGGATTCGACTGGATGCAGCCGCTGTTGTACATCACAGGCGTGCCGCCGGCTGCCAGCGCCAGGCTGCAGAGGGACGTCGCTTGCGTGGCGACGCCGTTGGCGATGCCGCCGGCCTCGTTGGCCGACGCCGCCGCTGCGGCAGCTGTCCCCGCCGCCGGCGCACCGAAGCCCGCCACGCAGCTGTTGTTCACGAAGATATCACTGAGGCTGCTGCGACTGTTCGCCATGTAGCGGAAGTGCTGGTCGCTCTGCGACTGCAGGAACCCGCCGCCCACGCCGGCCACATGCACCAGCCCGGCGGAGTCCATGGCCGACTCGTCGGGCGAGAAGTGGCCGCTGTGCGAGTTGTGCAGCCGCGTGCTGTAGTGGGCCGTGCCCGAGCCCAGGCCCACATTCCTGTCCAGGGCGACGGTCGCGTAGTGCGCGCGCGGCTGGTACTCCGGCTCCACCAGCTGCGATGCGGAGCGTGGCAGGCCGTACTGCGGTGCCGCCAGCTGGCCGCTGGGCGGCGGCTCCCGGTTGGCCCCGTAGTGCAGGCCAAGCTCGGGGCTGGCTGCCCGGGAGTAGGGCGGCGGCACCAGGGTGTTGGCCTCGTTGATGTTGCAAATGAAGCTGGAGCTGAGCGAGTCCACGGTGCTGGCGGCGCTCAGCGAGCCCGCCGGACGCACAATATAGTTGCGAAAGTATTGCACCATCAGATAGCTGGAGCCGGCGTTGCCTTTGCTGTTTTCGTTGTTGCACGTGAAGACGAGCGGATAGAGATCCGGCTTCGAGGTGACCTGTCGAAATCAGATAAGTCGTCAGCCTTGGCTCAGTCAGTTTAATTAGCAGATCAACTCACCTCCGTGTAGGGCGGCGGCGGATGATGGAACGAATTGCAGCGACTGTACTGCGGCGGTGCATAGCACGAGCCGGCGGAGTCGCCCTCGGATTGAGTGTGATGCTCCGTGAAGCCCCAGCCGCACAGTGTGCGACGCTTCTTCCATAGCGAGTAGGCACAGAGGATGGCCAAAATGACGGCCACCACGACGCACCTGCAGAGGAAGACAAAAGAGAGACAGCGAATAAGTTGAGATGGGAGTCTGTGTGAGGATCTCTTACTGCTCCGTTTGCAGCTGGCGTGTCTGTATGAAGAAGCCCATGGAAGAAGCCCAGTGGACGCACTGCAGGCAGGCTCAAGTCGAGCAGAGACTGCGGCCGGCTGCGTTCGTAATCGAATGCCAACTAAATGGGCTGCCTATTCGCTTGGCTTTTTGGCGACGTGAGATTTGATTATGTGAACGAACCGAAGGGGGTAAGGGGGTAAGACCCCTCTACCTCCATGCACTCATGCCCCATGCCCCATGCCCCATGCCCCATGCCCCCATACCCCAATGGGTGGCACTGCGGCTGGGACAGTGACAGTGAAAAGAGCCAGTGTCTCATTAGTTGGCAATGCCATTTGGCGCTTTCTGTCTCGTCTGGGGATCCGGGGCCGACCCGACTTGCATAAGGCCTTGTCTTGACTTGACGCAACTCAGTCAGGGGCCAACTGGCTGCCAATAATAATACTCATACTCGCACTAATACTGCCTGACTGTATCTGCTAGGCCCCACACAATGCCAATCAGCCCCGGCCCAGCCCCGACCTTGAACGCTGTGCAGCGCCCCCCGTCCCAGGGGAGGACGACTGCAGCCACAATGTATGCACATTAGATATATATCATTTTCTAAATGGTCTGCTACTTACCAAAAGAACCAGTGACTGATAAAGAACAGGTTCAGAACGTGCTCCGACGGTGGCGGCAGCTGCCTAGGCCCGCTCTGATACGGCGGACAGCAGCCTTGGGTGCAGCACTCCCTGGGCAGTGAACAGATGTGCCCGCCCTCGCAGAATCGCGCCTTGACCTGCGAAACGAAATGGAAGGCAAAGAGTCATCAGATGCAGTCAAGCCATCGCTACGAACAATTATGCACATTAATAAGCGAGAGGAGTATGCTCAAGCAAATTAATTGCTAGAGCAAACAATTTGAATAAATGTTACATAGGCAGACAGGTAGACAGACAGACAGATGGACAGACACACACAGTGTCAATAGGTGAAACGAAACAAAATAAAACAATCAACTAACAAAGTCAACAAAACAAGAAGGAGCAGTTCTATTCCAAAATCGGAACAACAACTACAACTAGCTACAGTAGATATGGTTGTTATGACTATAATTGGGAAAATTATGTGTATAAAAGTATAACAGTATAACAGTATAACGGTATACGAATATAACGGCATTTCAGTTGAACAGTGTAACGGTATAGCTGCTCAACAGTATAACAATATAGCATCACAACAGTATACTCGTATAACAATATAGCAATATAAAAGTATAATAGTATAGGAATATTTCAGTTAAACAGTATAGCGGAATAATAGTATAGGAGTATAACAGTATAACATAACACCAGTATAACAGTATATCAGTATGCCAGGCTAACTATATAACATCATTGAATATAATCGTATAACAATATACTGTGAAAAATAATAACAGAATAATACTATATCTGTATAATAGGGTGTAGCCGTAGGACAGCAAACCATGTAATAGCAGTATACCAGATTACTAGTATAACAATATATTCAAGTTAAATAGTTAACTGTTTAACTGTGGTGTCTTAATATTACAGCATGAAAAAATAAGAAGTTAACAATATAACAGTATAACAATGTCAATGTGCAATCATTTTACAGCAACAAAGGATCTCAATATAAAGGAATATGACTATAGCAGTAAAGATATCGAGCGTAAGCCCGAAATCAAATTGAGACGCAAAATATTTAAAGCTTTTAAATACGAAATGCTAGAGCTGTTATCATGTCTTTAAGAGGGTTGCTATGGATTTATTCAAAGATACAGATTATATTATTCTCGCATAATGCATCCAACTATGAATATTTAGAATTTCTTCAGTTTAAATTTGAATATCGTAAAGAAGAACAGATTCGCACAAGAATTGCTTAATTATTTGCATACGTTTTGAGTGCCAAATGTAATCTAAGGAAAACACCCCAGTTAATCGAGGGTATCTGCCAAGATGTTGTGCTGCCTCTATGTAATTTTGGCAAACGTAATTTGAGCTTGCAACATTTATGTGGGGGAGCCACTGGGCGCTGCGTGCTGGGGGCTAAGGAAACTTACTTGAACGGGCAGCCGCAGCAGAGCGAAAAGTATTGGAAATAGACGGAGCATTGTTGAAGCATGAAACCACATGGTGGCCACGATGTTGTCCAACTGGCGCCAAATGTCGATTGGGGTGGTTCGAGTTGCCCTGTCTGGGGTTGTTGTAGCTGTTGTTGCTTCTGTTGTTTAGCTGCAGGCTGCGTTGCTGTTGCTGTTGCTGTTGTTGTTGTTGTTCGTGTGATTCTGGTTTTCCGTTTTTGGTGCTCTTGAATGTTTGAGCTAGTTTCGTGTCTCGATGATTTTTGATACCCTTTCGCTTACAGCACGCATACACACTCACACATACACGCACACACACACAGAAACAGACACAGACACGCACGGACGCACGCACGCACGCACACAGGCAGACTAGACGCCAGTCGCTACATGGCAGGGTGTTTTGTTTTGTCCTTGACAGACAATGCAATTTTTCGCTGCATACTTTTGTGCTGGCTGCCTCTCTTGTGTTTGTTGTTGTTATTGTTTGTGAGATGCAGCAACTGCCTTTTCAGTGTTTACTGCAGCGTTAGTCGATAAACTTTTAAAACGCAAACAATTTACGCATGTCTGTGCATGTAGCTATGCAAATAGATGACAGCATAACGACACTTGCACACGCACACACACACACACGCACACGCACGCGCGCTTATACAGCAAAAGCCAATCGTGTTATTTATTTATTTTCTATACTCTTTTAGCGTCAAATATTTATTATAATATTTTTTCTCGGTCGATTGTGCTCCTCTAAGTACACACAAACACTCGCACACACACAAAAAAAAAAAACACTGTTTTCGTGTAACAGCACTTTGCCAACGGTTTTCTTTATGCTCTTTCTTCGCGTGCCTTAACAGTTGTTGTGCTCTCTGCTCATCCTCATTTTTCAGTTGCTGCTGCTGCTGTTGCTGTTGTTCTTGTTCTTGTTGTTGTTGGCAGGCAGGCAGGCAGTAAACAATTACAGAATACGAAAATGTTGTTGCTGCCCACCCAGGAGTTAGGACTGCAGATAGCGCGTGCCGTACAAAGAGCACAAAGCCAAGCGTGCCACGAGCGTACAATAACAACTGGACAAGTCTCTAACAAATATTAGAGGCAGCGAGCGGACAGGCTTGCCAAGGCAACTGGGGCCGCGCCTGCTGCTGTGCTAGAAAAGCTCTCTTCGCTTTGCCAGAGGCTGCCAACCCTTACAGCTGACCGCAGAGCTTTGGGCGAGCTTGCAAAGCTAAGCAATAAATAAAGCTGTGTATGTACATATGTATGTATGCATTTTTATGAACCAACTTCACAATACACAAAACTTTTATACATACATATGGATGTACATATGTATATTTTTGGGCGTTAAAAATAAACTCTGCTTTGAGTGTTGGACTCAGCAGCTTTCGCCATCTTGGGCAAATCAATACAAGAGGCAGAGTTCACGACTTGCTTGAACTGAATTAAATGAAATTATTCCGATTTCTTGAGATGACCAAAATAAAAAATCTAGCACGTAGTCTATAGGGGTTTTGAGCCTTGTCAGCAATTGAGCAATTGGGAATACTTTCGACTTAGAAGCTGGTTAAGATGTTTATGATTTTCTCTACTGTGAGCATTTTAAATTGGAAAATACTATGTGTAGCATATTAAAATGCTTATTGATTGAACATATTTGTATTTCTGTATTTTAAAATATTAGCAAAAATGCTATACATCTAGCTCCCCGCATTAATTCCTAATATTTTGATACTTTCTGCTTGAATAGATGTGCTCATAGGTTCTCATAAATCGCACATCAGAGCATAATTTCAGCCATTGATAATGGATAAATAATTTAAAATAAAAATCGCATTAATTTTAGGCAAAACTAATAAAAAAGCTCTAGTGGAGACTGCTCGACTATGAGATCTCCTGAACCCCTCTAGGAAAATATATTTCAATCATTTTTCACACACACTCATAAACACACATGTGCAGTAGTGTTTACTTACTAGGGGAACTTAATTGTTTAATAATTTTGCTGTTGGACTATCTTTATAAAACTTTAACATTCAAATGTTTGTGTTTATCAAAGCAGAAGTAATTATTGAACATGGGGATATCAATAAAAGGGGACTATTTACTTGTAAAGATGATTGCTATTTAACTATTTGTGATTGAGCTTAATTACGGTTAAAATGTGATCTCGAAATTTCGCGAACACAAATATAAAGAGTTTAAATCCATATTAGATACTTGTCTATGTTGTTTCCTTGAAAGTATTTTTCTTTTATGTTGGGATTTGCTTATCATGTGTTGATTCAGTGGATTTAAGTTTTCAAATTTGATTTGATTTATATTGATTTATCATTACATTGATCAATTAGCAAATTGAGTGTCTCATCTGCTTCAGAGTCGTAGGCAGAAGCGGGCAGCAGTTTAAGTACGAGCCTCGTACTGAAACTGCGGCTTCCTTGTCGAGTTGGCAGCCAAGCAGTGGCTTGCTTTGGCTTTGTGGCTTTTGGTTGCTGGTTGTGTGGGTTTCATGTGCATCGACCAATATATGAGTTGAGTTCGGGTCATCCCGAAGAGCAGCAGCTGGAGGCGAAATTCCCATTTGTATTGGCCGTGATTGTCAAAGATATTAAGCAACTTTGCTAAAGCCAACTATTATCTTGTCAATCTTGGCTGTACTTACATTTGCTGTGATCACGGTCAATGTGGCTTTGCACGCGGTCTCAAGTCAGGTATTACCTTAGCCGGCGTTCCTTACGAAAATGATCTAATGTTTGCGCTAAAATTTAAGAATCGTAAGCTGCCAGAATTGATAACTGCAATGGAGTTGAACCTGCGTGTGCACAGTCTGATAATTCAAGGTTACATGACCAATCTGCATTATCGCCACAAATACTTACCTGAGAAGAATGTGTAATTTGTTTTTTGTTTTCTTTTCTCCTTGAGGCTATGCCCCGTTGACGGGCGTAGACTAAACTATTTGATTGTATATTGCCCTAAACTGACTTACGCCTACTACTAACTTTTCCCTTGTAACGATCTGGCATCACAATCGATGTATTCCATAATATATATGAATAGATAATAAGAGTTGTCATCTTAATTAATTGAATTATCAGACTGTCCACACGCAGATTCAACTCCATTGCAGTTATCAATTCTGGAAGCTTACGAAAAGGTTTTTACTCGATAACAAAAACGGTTAAAGTTACCGACTTTTCGAAACAAACTCGATCGATATGAATGGTAATAGTGTGCTCCAGGTATCGGGAAAACTCTGGTGATGCGAAATAATTGATGATATGCCTGAAATAGAATTATCCTGAATGGTATCACTCTTGTTGGGTTAGACTACCAAGCCTTGAATTATCTCTTTAAAATTATTAAAATCGGCTTTAAGTTCGCTTTGCAAAACTCAGAAAAATCTTTTACGACTCGACTGCTGTGGGTATTGCTTGAGTTCTCTGAAATATTAGAGGTATTCATATGTAATATAGTCATCGATATAAACAGCACATTTTGAATAATATTATTGTTTTTTTTTTTTTTTTTTTTTTTTTACACAGTTGCACTCTCTGGAATAGAGTCTGCTGGTTTATTTGCCATAAATTTTGCTTGTAAAGTTTTTAGTGGGAGAAATAGCCAATTGTTGGGTCCTTAACTCTAAGCGCAACATAAGACTCGATTGCTTTGTTTGCTGTTTGCCTTGTTCGTCCAGTCTACGTGGGATGAGTCGATTGGGCGTCTAGAAGTCCTTGTTGGTCTCCCAGGCGGTGTGCACGCCGTGGTAGCTGTTCTGCCTCTGGGCAGGGGCGTTGCGGCCGAAGGGGCTGCTGGGGTTCACCTGGAGGATGTAGTCGCCCTTGATGTCGTAGGCGGCATCGATGCCCATGTAGGCGCGCTTGCCGTAGCCGTCGTTCTGCTTGTACTGCTTAAGGGAGTTGGCGGGCACGGCGGGGAAGCTGCGCTCGTAGCCTGGACGCACGGACTCGGCGAAGAAGCGGGTGGCGCGCATGGTGGCCTCAATGACGTTCTCAGCGCCGGGAACACCGGTGGACGGGCCGTTGGGATAGAAGTCGACGTCGCCGTTGCGGATGGGTGTGCCCATGCCGTAGACGGACGTGTGGATGACATCAACGAACTCGGCATCGCCGCGAGCCAGGCCGGTCAGGGTGTTGGGGTTCTTGGCGACAATGTGGCTGGGGTCCAGGCCGGTGACGCGGCGCAGCTTGTGGCCAGTGAGGCGGGTGAACTCGTTGGCAGCAGCGCCGGCAACGTGAGCGCCAACATTCTCGCCAATCACGTGGATGGTCTCATAGGGCAACTGCAGCTCGCTGGTCAGCTGGGCGATCCACTTGCCGAGCTTGGCACCGGTCTTCTCAATGTCCAGCATGGCGTAGCGCTTGTAGTTGGTCAGGGTGGAGCCCAAGTCGATCACCTGTGGCGAGGGTATTACAAATGGATGCATGAGTGGAGCTCTCTCTCAACGCTCTCCTCGCCCTCGCACTGCTACTCACAATAATATCGCCAGTGTTGGTGTTGGCGTTCTTGGCCTGCTCGCTGTAGTCCTCCTCGCTGGATGTGCGCGGCTGCTTGTTGTCCTCGTCGACGTTGCTGCTGTACTTCTGGGCCTGCTGCTGCTGCTGCTGCAGGTTGTATCGCTGCATGTAGGCCTGGATGAGCTTGCGGTTGGCCTTCTTCACAGTCTCGCTGGTCTGGGGTAGGCCGGTGACAATGATGGTGACCTCGTCCTGTCCGAAGTTCTGCTTCTGCTTCAGGCGGTGGATCATCTCGTTGATGGGCGCCACGATCTTATCGCCATTGGGTCCGGGCACATAGACCTGAACGTTGCTGGGCACAAAGTTGGGCTCCACATCGTGATTGATCTGCGACAAGTGATCTGGATGGAGGAGCAAGGACGACCATTAGCCAAGGACCAACTAAAAGGCAATTTCTGTCCAGATACTTACACACTTGCTGCAGCAGCTCGGCGCCCTTCTCGAGGGGCATGCTCTCCAGGCGCTCCAGCGTCAGCTCATCCACAGCGGGAATCGATTCCAACTCCTGCACGGACAGCCACTGGGATGGCTTCAGCGCCTGGTTGACGCTATTGCCGCCCATCCGGGGGGCTGGGCCGGCCATGGCCGCAACGACCAGGCAAGCCAGAAGGCTAAGCACTCGCATCGGATTCATTGTGTTCTAGACCAGGGCTTCAACTACTGCAGGAACTTCACTGAGCTCTCAATGTTGCTATGAGTTGAACTGTCTTCCACAGCGGCGAGCTACACATTTTATAGCACCCCAGCCCATTCGCTTTTTGCACTGTCAGAACTCGAGCCACAAATGCAGCGTTGCAGTTTCTAAATATATGAAAGTATATGTAGAGTTTGACAGCTGATAGCTGCCTACGTTTGCTTGATACCTTACGGATCCCCCATCCCCCGTCTCGACTCCTAAGGGTCTGCAACAAACTAAGCTGCCTGATAGCAAACTGCTTGAATGGGCAAAATATTGTAATAGCCGCACAAGCTACGCAAATACATTGTAAGACTATACGATAAGCCTATATATATGTATACATATATAGACTATAAAATATGTAATATAGATGCAATGTACTTAAGCTAATCTCAACTGCCGCTAGATGGGTCCCATAGAAATCTCAAATCTAAGCTAACCATTCACCTGCATGCCTTACAAACAAGAAGTTGAAGAAATTCCGTAATCCAGCTCATATGATGAAATGATCTATAATGTCTGTAGTTTGTTTTATTTGAATTCAACAACACATTTAGCTTCGGTTTTATTCAATGAAAAAGGGAGATTAGAAGATGGACATTCTTGATACAAACAAGTAAAGACCAGCTAGGGAGAATGGAGTCTTCAGCCAGACAAGGCTGGGAAGCGCCTATGTAATTCATCTGGTGAAAGTGAGCAAAATGTGAAATTACTTATTAGCTGAAAATATTTATATACTTTAAGTGAATCTTTCATAATGGAATTCTGTTAGAGTTTTCATAATTTATGAGATATATTTGTTTGATATGTTTTTATGTTAGATGTATATTTTAATATTCTGCTCTTTAGAATTGCCAACAAGTATCAATAAAGATCACTT